TCAGTAACAGATAAAGAAATACTTTCATAATTTTCATGTTATATCTCCGTTCAATAAGTCAATTAGATCAGGTATCGTCAGATGTCTCTATCGCAGCATCCCGATCTCAATAAATCTGCTATTGAACTAATCCCGGAACCGCTCGCCTCTTATCTTAATAGCTTAGACGACTTTATTCCGGCTTCCATTTAATTTGTGATTTATTTAATGGGGAAATAAACTATTGATTTTATTATACTGACCAATATATGAATGTATGTGAGTTTATGCATGTATGTGTGCATGTGTGTATGTATGTGTGTGTGTAAACAAAATTTAAAAGGATCTTTAAGTAGTCTAAGAGAATCACGAAGTGAGATTCATATATTTTTTAAATATTTAAGTATATCGCAATTTCTTTATTACTTAATATATTTGTAGTTAATACATGTATATGTATAGAAATAAAAACATGAATAAGTAGTAAACATATACTGAACAACATCTAAATCTACGACTTGATAAAAATTATCTAACATTTATTACTTCTAACACAAAATATACATTATTAATAGATTTTAACTTTGATTTACATAAATTATATCTTAAAACCAATTATTATTTGAGATTTCTTTAAAGTAAAGGCAACATTTATCAGTCGATCGCGATTAATAACACCGTTCATTGTTTTAAACAACTGGGATATATATTAATCGGTAACAATGAGACTGATCGCTTCTGATGTTAATAAATGTTTCACAATAAAAGAATACATTAAAATAAAATAATGTTTCGTATTATTTAGATTACAACCTCAGATAAAACTATAACTCACGCAAAATATATTTATATTTCATAGAAAATACATCGAATGTAATGTTTAGGAATTCGTATATATTTGGACAATCCCTATGATTTGTGACTTAACTCACGACCCATCCTATTTCTTTTGTATTCCCATATTTAGTTATATACGTTTGGTCAGCGGATATATATTTTTTTATATGAACAATTTTTTTATTCTGTTCACATTATATTCCGACAATATCTTTGACTGGAGTTAGGTGAAAAAGCTTTTATTACATTCGTAACTTTATTATTATTACAAAGAAAACGTTATATTAAAATATGTGATAAAAAAAAATTGCCTCAAAATTTATAAGGGACTTGTAATTTCTCTCTTTCCCAAGCCTTGAAACTAAACGTCAGTGTAAATGAAAGGTTCTGATCATTTAATATAACTAATTATATTAAACAATTTAATCATAATTACTTTATGTGTTACAAATGAATTTTAAATACTTCATAAATAACTGAGGTTCGTAATTAATAATGGGTCTCTGTATGTATAAAGTAAATCCAACTGTTTGAATAGTAAAATTAAACAGCTTTTGTGTTCAGAAATCCTCAACTTGTATACAATGTAGGAAATTTTCATTTCATTGAAAGCAAATGAGTAATATCGGTACTGAAATATTTATATCTACATATTAATAATTATTAAACTCTCGCTTAGTTAGGACGTTCCTTTTAGCAGATAATTGGAAGATATTTAAAACCTATTGCTTTGAAACTGGTAATTGGATGTATTCTTTTTTAAAGCATAGTTCTTTCGGTTATAACTACGCGGTTTTGTTATTTCTTTTACATTTTACCGACGTTTCGATTACTTTTGCAACAACCGTGATCCCTTTCATCTCGGCTGCCAGTGATTACGGTTACTGAAAAGTAATCAAAATGTCTCGGGAAAAAGTATTATAAAAAAATGAAACCGAGTAGTTATATCCGAATTATTTCACATTTAAAATGTCTACTAGCAAAAATCTTAAATATGTATAATAAAGTTTTGCATTTATTCCAAAATTCTTAGAGAAACGAAACTTATTTGCAAAATTAAAATGATACAAGAATATTGTAAAGAGTTTGCACACTCGTGTAGACGTATTTTGTTCGAAAATAATCAAATAATATAGATTTAAAATTGGATATTGGATATTCATAATTGTATTTGATTTGATGGATAGCAACATTACATATGTATAATATTATGCAAACGTGTATTATATTATAACTTGTTTTCTTTAAATAAACAAAAATAGATTTTCAGTAGTTTACAAATTATTTAAACCAATCTAATGATTACATGAGAAATTACAATTGAATCCCTGATGTTCTATACATATTTGTTCTCAAATCCTTTCCTAGTTCGTAACTCTATTGAAAAATCTTGAAATTTACACTTCCTAGACAAATTCGTACATAAAACAATCCAGAAATAAAACTGACAACTTGGCTTCTTCTCTTGGCAGGCATCTTGGCAAACGTTGGTGACTCGCCTTAAATGTACACTCGTTATAAAATGTCTAGATGGCATTTATTTAACAATACCTGTAAAATACTCCTAGTTCAAATAACTCAATGAAACAATTAGACTTAGAAATATTGATATCTAAGACTTTCGAGAGTATTCATTTAAGGGTAAGTAATATTTTTCGGATTATAATTCGCGTATTTTATTATTTTTAAAAACTATACACTCTCGACGTTTCGGTTACTTTTCAGCAAACATGATCACGGTTGGTTTAAGTAGATTTTCAAAAATAAATCACGCGTAGTATATCCGAAAAATATTAGTTTCATTTAAACTTCTACATTTTATCTACGACATTGATAAGATTAATAATTGTATTTCATTACATGTAACTATGAAATATATTAGGATAATAGCTCTAATAGTGGCTCTTAGTAAACGTATCTAGTAATTACAATGATACAGGATATATCGTCCATTAAACAGCAGGCACATAGGACGCTAAGAGAAATGGCTGCTGTTACGTCACCAGGATTGAGTGAAAAAGATTTTATCTGCAGAATAGAAGCTCTTTTAGAAAATTATTTTGCTGCGTCTTATGAGATCGCCCCAGATTTCTTTTTCAGTTAAAAACTGGGTCTGGAAACGTTTACCGGCTACGTAACTCTTTACCTCGTTTAACCGACTGCAACATAAAAGGATATACATACGACAATACTTACTTATTTGTGTATATGTATAAATGAATATCTATAGTAATAACAATGCAGTGTTGACACGATATTGTTATGGAAATGTTTTAAAATTTAATATTGGATGATAAATACGCGTCATAAATCAAATATCGATGTATGTATTTTTACTGAATTTGATTTACTATATACTATTCTATTTGGTAAACAAAATAAAAGAGCTTCTAAAAACACATACAACTATATGAAAGACTAGCTTCTTTAAAACTTCTGCTTCACTAAAACACATTAATGAAATGCAATAATTTGTTATTTTTCTAGAATAACCAACAAAGTGTACTTTAAGAAAATCTTAAGAAAATCCATGAAGACGTACATACATACTTTCAATATATTTCTAAAAATAAATTTCTAATGCTTAACCTAACAATACAACAAAAGACAGCCAACCTCACTATTCTATCCTTAAACGGTTAAAAGTTAAAATAATGGTTCCAAAGGTACAGTCATTTATAACAGTGGGGAGTTTATATGTTTATAATCCGAAAATCCTTCGCGCCTCCAATTTCAATTCCCAAGAGATGTGTTGTAAATACGTTTTAGCATATCAAGAATTCAGAACGCTAGACAAATTAATTCTAAGAATGTACATACAATTTATTAACATAATGTTTGGAACGGAACTTTTAATATGGATTAGAATTTGTAACAGAAATAATAAAAAAAACTTCACATTTTCTAATGATAGCAATACTTATAAATGTTTTAGAAACTGAAGCCATTTTGTTAGTTCGATTAAATTTATTATATAATTTGTATAAATTGCACGCATATATAGAATTATGACGACACTTTTATAACGGTATAGCTATTATTGATTTTTGTGTTCCTCGACAAAGAAATTTGTTTCCTATTGTACGAGTATGAAAAGGCATACATTTTTTAAAGTTCTATAAATTTATTGAAATTATATTAAATAATTATAATGTTATAACACTTAATAAATAAGTATCTACAATTGTTTTATGCATGGTACAAATTTTACCAATATTTCATATCGAAATCTAAGTCGACATTCAGAGCATAAGAAATTTTCTGAAGTCTGAACCCTATACCTACAATGTAACAAATTTGTCAAAACTGACATTCAAAAACCGAGATTTTTTTGTTATAAACAGAAAAACTTATAAAGAGGATATCCATTATTAAGAAAAACATGTAAAGATAAATATATTATGTTTTTGGAGTATTGTACATAATATTACATATATCCTTTATTTCTCAAATTCTCAAAATAAACCAGAAAACACTTTAATCATTTACTTCGGGATCATATACAGATGAATATAAATATATGGATTTTGATAAATGAAAAAAGATATCTTTTTCGTTAATAAAGAGGCTGTATGGAATAAATACGTTCATACATACAATTTTCATGTTTTTACAATGTGCATATATGAATACATAGATAGACAGGGGTCCCTTAAACTTACACCTGGGTCGCAAGTCCCAGGCACTGTTAAAGCTACTTTTCCTGCAACGATGGACCCGGCACCCGGTGAATCCATTGAATGATGAGAGGTTTCGTCTCATATGAACATTTTAATCATAATTCTTGACATATATACAGACATATACCCCAATATCAATCAAATTTGGTAACAGTATATTTTTTCTATTCATTGTTCCGTCAAAATTGGAAGATTTACTCGTCATACGTAAGTTTCACCCTGTGTGAAGCGAGCCTTAGTTATTGAAGCATCGTTTAAAACATAATGATGTTTTAATGAGTTCTCAACGAAAATTAACAAACAGTCGATTTATACGACTGATGTATTGTAACACAAAGTACAAAACGTATATACGGCCTTAAAATGTATGATCGTATTCAATTTCATTCGCTTTTAACTCTATAATTATATAAATTGTTGTAAATAATTACTGTTTTATATATAAAATAAATTACATATAACATAATAATATTTTAAAGACTTATTTTATTTTATATATTGCAGTTGCAGTTACGACTTTCTGGATATTATAGAGTCCGGACTGGAAAATGTTACAGAGTACGGTCCAGTGGAATGGATAACGCATGATCATCACTTTGGCTCCGAAAATGAGGTAAAAATATATAAAATAACTTTTCGATTCTTGTGACGGATAAAAAAATATTAATAAAGAAATTTTATTTGTAATGTGGTGACGCTACAAGTGAAATTATATCTCTGTAGCTATGTAAAAGAACTTCTGAAATAATCATCTTTAATTGCAGCGACAAAGTTATTTTGTTTTCATAACCTTCTTTACGTTGCGAATAAATATCTGTCAAATGACGTCTTCCAATCTTTATCTTTTCATATAAATCCTGGTTCGTACATAAGGCATAAAAAACGTTTATTTCAAACAGGTTTGGGAGGAATTGGAGACTCTTTTGCCTGAATCGGACGCGGTGAGTGCGGGCTGGTCACGAGAAACTCATAGCTCACGAGCGAGGCGCCTCTGCGGCGATTGGAGCGGGAAGCTTAAACTACTGCGCTACCAATCTCGTGGCCACGCACTGCGGCTTCGATTTAAATCGGACCACTCTAGACACTTTGCGGGCTATCGAGCGAAAGTAACTCTGACTGACAGTGAGTAAGCCTCAGGCTATATAAATTCAGTGGCCGTAAACAGTTTGTTTGAACAGAATTTCAAACCGTTGTCAAATCCACAAACCATGTTTTTTAATACACATTCTTTGTTACTAAAAATAGTTTAGTTATTCTCTAGTGTTCCTATTGATGGCAAGCAAACGTCGCAGACTGTAGCTAGTCTTAAATGAAGATGAATGTTACATAACAGCACTCCAGCCAGTCATTACGTCATTAGAAAGACTTCAACAGAATTCAAAAACGTTGTCGACCGCACTTTTCATAATTACTAACTCTATACAACGGCGGGCTTTATGTAACATCAACCGTCTTCCATATGAATTGGGAGCAGATTTATATAGAAAATAAAACAAGTTTTCACTCATTGTAGTCTAAGACGTTTTGTTCGATATTACAAAGAATGAAAACATGTTATGTCTTTAGTGAATTTAAGAAAATATAAAATGTATAAGATACAAGGGTCAGAAATGTTATGGGCCCTGAAGTTGAATTGTTATAAATTTTAAACAACATCCTTCTTTCCTTCTCAGAATCATGCATTTATCAAAACGCAATCTTCAGTAAATTTCAGCAATTTATTTAAGGTTCAACATCCTTACCGCTCCAACGTAATGCAATAAAATTTGCTCCAAATAAAAATTCACATGAAAAATATGAAATGCAACATTATAATTGAGATCCGAATCCATCCGCCTCATTCATTTTCTGTTCAATTATATTACTTCCTAGTAGCTCACAATTACTTTACTATAAAATTATTATTAGATGTTTATTTGCTTCCTACATAGACATAGACCCCACATTCTCGTAGTTCTCCCTAGTCTGGAGACACGTCACTATTCATTTCATATCAAATAATCAAAGAACATTGTTTTTCAATTCCAACTTCGGACTTCTGTTGCCGCCTTAGTTTTGAATGGTGCTGCATACAACGAGTGCGGAAATACACCTACTTCCCACACGAACAACTCGCAACTTTGTTACTTTTCAATAGAATTCTAAATCGCTTGTCTCGCAACTTGCCAAGTTCTGTTACACGTGCAACTTTCCCCCTACCACCAATTGACAATGCACACAGCAGATGTTTTATATCAATGGAATAGAGTTCATTTTCGGTTGTTTTTGTAGCAAAACGATTTTATGGAATAAACTCGTAGCTTCGCGCTAATGAACTAAATTGGCTTACATTTCACATAATTTTTAATGGGCAATCAGCTTTATTGTTTACGCAAGGTTAGCTTTCATTTTTAGCTGTAACTGTTATTGTAACTTTAACAAATGAATACTTCAAAAACTATTCAATTTGAATATTACGCCAAGAGCTAAGTCGTTACCAAATTAACGACTTAATTGAATTATGAATTAAGTAGAAGTGCTTTTGACATCGAATTAATGAATTAGATGAAGTGTCTAGACAGTGTGAAATTTAGGCAATTTATTATCAAAATTGCAATTACATTACTACTCCTATCGATTTCATTTCGATAAATAGAATTGAATTTCATCAGCTTGGGCTTATAGCTTGTAAATTTGTCGTAATATTTTTCCAATTAAACTTGTTTTAAAAAAATATTTAAACTATCGCTGATAATAAAGTAAGCTCCGATAGTACAATTTCATTCGATAGCAAAAAAAACTTCGTTAACTCGTTCCATTCATTCGTTCAACAGTAGAAAGAATTTTCAGCACGAATTTCAACGTACACTCCAATTTAAGTTTAAAAGAGCTACATCCAATATTAAACAACATCAGGTATGAACGAGTATTGAACTGGGTCTCTTCTGTACCTAATATTAGAGTGATACAGTACAAAATGTCTTTAACACAGTGACTAGCAAAATAAGTCACGCGTCTCTCTTGCATTATTCTTCTAATAAAGAGTTAAGTACACTGTGGGTAACTTAGTAAGCATAAACTTACACGTAAGCGTACACTTATAAACTTTAATTTCAAAGTTATCATAGTGAGTATAATACAAATAAGCATTTCTTATATTAAAATATGAAAGTGTATGTTGAGGAAAGTAGGAAAATATTTACGATCTAAACATTTCTTTTGGTAGAATCGAACAACCAATTATAAATGATTCATTAAATTAAAAACATCGTCATGTGATCAAAAAACGTATTTTTGTGACGTTTCTTTAGTAAAACAGTTTTTCGTTATAGCTTCACACATGGACCACAGTTATAATATAATTCTTTAGCAAAGATTAGTTAGTCAGAAAAAATGAGAAATAAGGAATCCTTCGCTGATGATCGCATAGTATTGGAAGCATATATCCAATAGATATAAGAAAATATTATCTTCATATACAAAATTATAGAACATTTTAAATACCTATACAGGGTGACTGGTGAATTACTATCGATATTTGAGGACGTGATATTTGACGATCATATATGACAAAATAAAAATTAATATAACATAAATATTAATAAACTTCTAAGTAAAGTTAACCAAAAGTTATGTAATTAATTACGCATCATGTGACCACCCTACAGATTAGGTATACACTGACACTCACACATACGCGTGTCGTGACGTGGTGTTGTATCAGCACGCCGCCGCACGCGTCCACACTTGAACATTTGGAACGTGTCAACACTTTATTTATTTATACGGAAATTTTGTCAAAAATTAAGTGCCTATTTTTTTACATAATTCGAATGAGAATCATGTACCGAGTATTCTCCTTAAATATTGATAGTAATTCACCAGTCACCCTGTATATTAAATGCTATCCAATACAGCGAATAACCTTGCAAAAAAAAAATTACACCTGGATTATACGATTGTAAAGTTTATTCTCAAAAGATACGACACATGTGGATGTTCTAGGAACAAAATTAAATTATAAACAAGTTCTTTTCAGCATAACCTAGTACGCTGATAGGCTTTATCTAACTAAGCTTTGTTATTTAACTGCCACTTAATGTAGTCGTTTTATGAAGCGAGAATAAATCACTAGATTTTTTTTATCAAAATTGTCAAATCATTAAAAAAAATATTCCACAATGATTTAAATCATATATATATATATATATATATTCATAGCATTACTCCGCTCTTTGAAAATATTGAAACATGTGTTCCGATCTGCTATTGATATGAAGCCGGAAAAATCCACTGTAATAGTAATATCTTTAAATATTTTCAATGTGTCATATGTATTCAAATTTGGTGTTATTATGTGTTATTGTGGATTTAAAAATAGAGAGGTTGATAGACCAATATAGATCCGTTCTATTACAATTTGTGAAAACATTAATAATTACAGACTTATGCCTTAGTTACCTGAATTTCTTGACTTAATTTATATAATTTTATTCGGCATAAAATAAACTTCAAACAATTACTTTCGGTCCATTAAACGTGGCTCGACTGTCATTTATAATGTACAACGCTTTAAGATTCAAAGTCCTAGACAAACCTTAAAGATAGACAATATTATGACAAGTATTATGAAAATACCAAATTAAATAAGATTTGACTTTAATTTCAGTTTAAGAATAATATATGAATTATATTTTTTATACATATCTTTATTTTCGCCTTTATAATGTTGTAAAGTATCCTGTAAAAACATTTTATCTCTAACTTAACTGTCAGTCTGCCATGTGTCTTGATCATTGTCTGACAACTTCCAATTTAATATCACTCCTAATATAACTTCTAAGTAATATTCCACTAAGTTCAATTATTTTTTCATTTAAAATAAATAGTTCATTTACTATATTCGAACGTTACATTTGCTAGCGAGAATTGAAAATATCTTTCCATACGGAAAACTAATCATGACGGCATTCAGTCTATGATGGCAATAATATTTATGTAACATTAAAAAGCATCTCATATTTTCTGTTTATTTCCGTTATAAACGTTGGTAATATTGGAATAGTTTATAACTCAATATATTTTTGCTGCATTTCAAGGAAACGTTTATATTAACTAGTAAATATTGCTTCCATTAAACTTAAAAGTTTGTCTATTTCTGATACATCAAAGAAACAGTTTTGTTTTATTTGATATTTGTACTAAATTGATATTAATTTTTCATTTGGGACGCTTATATTTTTAGTATTATTATATATCGGATTCTAGTTCACTATTAACTTTATTCCACAATCGACAAAAGACCTTATTCCTTTTTTAATATGATATCAATCTTTCATGAATTCAAAAAAAAAATATTTATTTAGGAAAAAAGGACCTAGTTATACTTCAACTAATGATATTATATTTTATTAACAGCACAGTCGTGTATGGACGTGAAGCAGGTACTCTTCAACGGTTACTGCTACCTTTTCTCCGGCTACCCACAGGCTTCTTGGTCAACCGCGAAACAGGTAAGTCTGTAAAAAATTGTAAATGTCACGCTTTCATAAACGCCTTTAAACATATTCCAATAAATTCAAAATTCGTACACTCGACAGCTTTAGTAAAATGAAGACAGTAAGAATTCTGATATCATATAGTTACATCGGGTTAGTACAGAGTCATCATTAAATACTTCTGATTTGGTAACTGTCGTTGTTCCCAAGTCTATACTCTAAAGAATTTAACAATATTCTCCGAGTTGGCCATCTTTCTGATAATTAATACAATCAAACATTGTTATTATACAAAGAAGACCCTCCTGAGTTTGTATTAAGATTTAAATATTACATTAACATAGAGTTCATTCTATAAAAGGCAGTCTTAGTGATTGGTTCTCAATTAAATATCCATTATATACAAAAATCTATTTCTAAAAGCCCTTCTCCTTGCATAGAACTTAGATATCTTTTAAACAATAACAAATATAATACAATGTATGTACATTTTAAAATGTATAACTCGTATAATACTTGCGCAGTGCTAACATTACAGACCGCTAATGGCTAAAAGCACTTCATGCCCGAAATAAAGATACATGCGACTCCCGTCTCATTCATGAGCTTTTAAACAGTTAACAGTCTTAAAACATACTAACATTTAAATCTGTCTCTGCTTTAACTCACTTTTAAAATACGTAAGTAATAATTTCACATAGAAATAAAATTTCGATCTGTAATTTACAAATCTATGTATGTGTATTCATCTGTTTTTTATATTATAAGCTACAGAATATTATATATTCATTCTCTTTTTATTATTTGTTTTACGATTCAATGGAGAGCGAATATCAATCATAAAGTATGTATTGATTGAGTTTAGATTACATTGGAACCTATTTGAGTAAAGACATGTTAATAATTAATGGATGAACCAGCGTTGCGTTATTTATTGACAAACATTCATTTATATTCTTATTTTTATAACTACTTTAAAATTAACATGTGTCTAAGAAAACCATATAAATGAAGTTATTGTCTTTTTCATAGAAGGACCATGTCTCTTTCAAACTTAATTCTAATAATTTTAATTCAAGACTCTTCCACTGTTTCAATCCTTTCCTCCATAAGCTAACAAAGACAAAGTTAATAAATATGGTGGTATTAATTAAAATAATTTGACATATTTTAAGTTTTTCCCAACAATAGTCTAAATGGTATATGCGTTTAGAGTGAGGGCCTATTTATGTGTATATATACTATATATGTATATTATATATGCCAATCCATCTCACAAACTGTCTAACCAATACGGGTTGGTTCTTTCAGACTTTAAGCTAAACTTTATAATGTTATTTTAATTTCACGGAAGAGCGAGTACCGTTATTTCCTTGCTAGGAATGAATTTTTCTTAAGGACAAAATTAAATTTAACTATAAGATTCATAAAGAGTTATTTTGGTTTCGTTTAAAACAGCCACGTTATTACAAAAAATCTTGATAGAGTATTAAATGCTGTTATTGGCCACTTATGACGCTGGCCATAAGTGTCACTCACGCTTCATACACGAGATGTCTGCTTTAAGCAGCGTAAAAGTGTGATGTGGATCTTAAAAATATCAACATTTTTACGTCACACCCGACATTTAAAAGTAAATGGAAGCATAAAAGATTTATAAGACTGGAAAACTGTTTTCATTTTAAATTTATAAGCGCAGTGAAGAACTTAAATATTTCCACTCAGCTAATTATATTCAACAAGATTTTAACGAACGATTTAATTTGATTTTCACCGTCGATGATCGCGATATTCATAATAATTAGAGCTGCAAAGTTTTCTCTTTAAAGTCCCTCCCAGGTCGCATCAACCGACAAGTAGGCCAGGAGACGACAACAGATAAAAAATATATATTTTAATACACGTTCAAGAGATTAAAAAAATAAATTTGTGGTAAAAAAATACATATTAGAAGCAAGGAATATGGCAAGCCATAAGAAAAACTACAACTAATGATAACTTTCTTTAATATTGATCTATATTAATTATAGTAATATATTATTTCATTTACTTATATTTTCATTCCTAACTATTATTCTACGTGATTTCTTTTAAGGAAATCTTTATCATCTCTCAGTCTAAACTTCCTCTTAAGTCGACGTAGGATCTAACGATCCAAAAAATCTTTCTTACTCCATTTAACAGATGAGTTTGGATAATTTTTAATATTTCTTTTCGTTTCTCATAACTTGACTTTGATGTAAGACTCTGGAACATTCGAGTAAATAAATTCAATTTACATCTTATTACTATATTAAGTATTAGCAATTTTTTTTTGCTTAATGAACCATTTTTTTTAATATGTGCATAATAAAGTCGCTCCCACTTTATATAATAATATTTATTTAAAGTTTATATAATTTTAATGGAAAGAAGATTAAATCAAAAATCCACATTCAAGAAAATAATTAAAACATTAATTTACAATATTTTGTTAAACCTTACGTGACTTGGTGAAGTCCCTGTAATAGGTTTAATTCCCACAAAAATTTCGGCATACTTTAGAAATTATGTATACAAAAAAATATACAATATGTAAAGAATTTAATATTTACCTTTGTTTTCTTCGTAGGTTTGTGAAGGCCTTAACATGCATCTGTCCTCAATACACACAGCGGAAGAGGAGCGCTTTATAGTGACCGGTATCAGACAATCAAGCGATTACAGCGCTGGATCCGTTTACTGGCTCGGTTCCCGTCTAGACGATAATGCAATAAGCTGGATCGATGGAAGCACTTTAGATTACCAGGCCTGGCCTCCTTATAATGACACCGAGGAAGTTGAAGACAGCTGTTTAGGTGTTCAGGTGAGATAACTACAGGATTTAACAGATTTTATCGTTGGTGACTGTATGTACGTGTTTTATATTCGGCGTAGAGTGTGTATGTATGTTATATCGCATGTATATTAAATGATTAGAAGTAAATGAAAAACTAAGAACGTATCTACTTATATAAAAGAAAGTTGTGCAAGTTACACTATTCATAACTCAAGGACAGCTTTAGGGTATTGGTTGAAAATTGGCGGAGATAGCTTAGTACCAAGAGACGGACATAAGATACCTAATTTTATACCTAAAAAGAGAAACTTAAAAAAACATACATCAGCTATACATACATATTTTACTAATTCTGAAATTGTACATAAAAACTTGCATATATAAAATATGTTTTGTATTTAGCGACGTAACGGTTTTCATTAATAATAATACATGAAAACAAATTATTTGGCTAATCATTTGCATTTTATTTCATCGCAATCTGGCAGTAACGAGTCTTGTTCAGGACGTATTTAAACAAAATACTCACGTCCTTAGTTGCGCGATACTACTCAGGAACATGAGTTAAACAAATTAATGACCAACATAATACTATATTAGTTGGAAACAACTTCTTAGACTACAGAAAAGGTTTTATATATATTAAATTAGCAAGCGAATCTTTATTTATGAAAAGAATATTAATTATGGTAGAAGATAAACATAGAGATAAAAATATTAAATAAAATCGTCGTGATTCATTCATTTAAATCAAAGAACAAACTAACATCCATTCTTTATAATGGTTACTTCTAAAGTCATTCCAATGTGTAATAAATTTAATAAAATAATTTATACAGAAATGAAAATCTTAATTATGGAGATCGTGTCTTAGAACTCTCCTTAATTAAGGAAAATGAAAAAGGAATAGAGAAGACACGGAAAAAATGACCTGCTATGTGCAGACACAGTATATAAATCTAGTGAAGTTATTACTTTATCTAATTTGGACCAGTCGTAACAGTGTTAAATTATATTATAGAAACAAGACTGAAATATTCACCAATTTTTAAAACTAAAGAAGTTGAATACTGATGCTTCCTAAAAATGTCGAAGAAAGAAACAAGAGGTTGAAAATTAATATGAAAGTGCTCAGAATAATAAATGAGATTTTATATTTTATATTTTAGATTCTTAGTTAAAAATAAACCCATATAAGCTTTAACCAATTTTGAACCTATCAAGCAGAAATTAAAAAGGATTATTTCACCTTTTGCTACTTCCTACTCATTAATGTTTCTTCTTCTGTTAAGAAAAAATTTAAAATTTTGCTTAACATCCTAAAACACGGCATGTCGTCTACATATATACATGGATCACGGAGACAAATATATTTCCATTTTATTATATTATTCTCGCCTAATAATTCATAAGTAATGACATCTAACTTCATAACTCAATTGAAACCACGTTACATAAAGTCTGTTGAAAATTGTAAAATATTCCTTGTCTGTGGTATACTCAATATGTGATACACGTCTGAGTAATTATATATTTTATTTCTTCAAGCAAATTGAGACACAAAGTTCATAAAAAATTCACACTTAGTACAGCCGTAATTCTAAGCTAATTATCAATTAAATAACATTATTCAGAATTCCTCAGATTAGTATAAAATAGTTCACAATTTGGTATTTTTTCTTAAATGTGGCTCCCAATTTAGTATCTCGAAAACATTAATTTAAATGTCCTCAGTGGAAAACCTCTCCTGTACCGTCCCAGCCATCAGGATTGTACTGGACTCCATACAAGTGCTCGGCCACTGGCGGCTACGTGTGCAGGAGACGCCTCACATCAGAGCACGTGCTCAGAAATACTACCGTCGAGGGCTCTTCGGGTAAGTAGGAAACACCGCTAACAGTCCTCTGGCTGAGTTGGAGCAAGCTCCATACAAGTGCACACTGACATACGTGTCCTGGCCTCACCTCGGCACTCGGGAAAATTGGTTAAGTTACGGACAAGTTTAAAACGCTTTTAATTGAGTGATGGAAACTCAAATAATCTTGGGATTATTTCATACTTAAAACTTTTCCCGTCACAATTACCTCGAAAGCATAATAAATTTTATGAAAGGTTTTCCGCTGATAAAATTCAGAAAAGTTCTCTACTTTGTGATGTCTGATTTAAATAATTTATCTACTTGTTGGAATTTAAATTTTATATACATATGTATATATTAGGAAGAATTCGTTACTTTGTGTTTTTAAAGAGTTCTTTGTATGTTCTAAATACCGTAAAGGAATTTTCTATTAAAAATTGCTTATACAATAGCAGTGAGAGCAATGAAGATATATTTATACTCGTATTACTTGTAAAAAGTATTCTAAACGTCTATCCAGGTACATTAAGGAGTCCTAACTACCCCGGTCTGTATGACAACGATCTGGATTACTGGGTTCATGTAAGAAGTGCCCCGGACACACGGCTGGTTTTCGTTTTCACGTCCATCAACTTAGAATATCAGAACGACTGCCTTTACGACTTTATAGAGGTGTGTATTTTGATCGACTCAAGAACCTTATTTAAAATGCGACGATGCTCTGAAACGGGTAAAAATGTGAACGAGCACCAAAAAGACGATTCAAAATAGCTGCTTTATATAGAAGCACTGCTGCTTACTTATTCTGAGGGGATTTTCAGAAAGCAGTGTATTAAACATACTTTTTATTGCGTTAACGTTAGTGTGAATAGCTAAATTAACTAGAAAAGTAATCTAAGTTAACGACCTACATTTATTTATTTAGTTTGTTACTTCTCATACAAAGTAGATTCAGTTTTTGTATCCATAGATTATGTTTGTTTCGTACTCTACCCGCATTAATACTATCACGTGTGATGACATAAAAAAACTATTGACGCTTCATATGCAGAGTGACGACGGCAACTTATACTGCGCTCTGGTTCGTAACACATTAATAAATGTTCTTTGACAGTATATATAACATTAAGATAACATTTTATTTGTGTTTATACTGCAGCTAGAAGTATCTCTGACCTGATCATAATTCTAATATTATTGCTTTAACATGCTAAAGTTTTATTTTGAGGAATGTTAAAGTTCATTTTTATTGTCTCGTTCTAAAGTTACGAGATCGTAAAGTTAGTTCGAAGTCATCGAGATACTGCGGCTCGGTCGGAGAGACGAGATGGGTCGCCGCCACCAACGAAGCGATACTTCACTTCCATTCCGACTATAAGTATGTTTAGCAATTAAGTATTCTATCAACTTTTATTCTTAACGATTCTTTTCTCAGCTATTTTTAATAAATAAGGAAAGTGAGTTTGTTTGTTGTCTTTACGTATTTATTATAATCCATAGAAGAATATTAAATTATCTCAGATATCTTTTTTTCTATGAATAGTTTTAAAAAAAAGTTTAAATTAAACATTTAAATATATACTCGCGAAAGTCTTAATTCTTATTATAAAGTTCATAAGTGTTCACATTGATTATGGTCTTAAAATAAAGCTGTCACAAACGAATCTTACCCCAATGAAACGCCAGTGAAATCATAGTAAATAATCTGTATATAAAAATAATTTATACACATGTATTAAAAAATAAAACAGAACCTCTCTTCAACAGTACACAAGGTGCAGGTTTCTCAGTGAACTGGTGGGCGGTCGAGCTGGCAGGATGCCCATCTCAGACGTTTACGTCCAAGGAAGGGATCATTCACAGTCCTAATTATCCCCATTTTTTACTACCAGATATGGATTGTACAATCGATATATTTGCTCCAGCGGGTAAAAAGATCATTCTCAAGAAAATGTTAAGTTATTGTTATTTTAAAACATAGATATACATTTATTCGTTCTCATGTTACAGGAAAAAGGGTGTACTTAAATATTAGTTTTTTTGATTTCGGCTATGGACAATTCGAGAACGGAATTTCGAACAATGTATCCGATGTCATATCCGAAGACAATTATTTAGAAATTCAAGTAGACTCTCAAAGTCGACCTATAAGACCATTTCAAAATTCAAAAATTTTAACCAATGGGCTATTCGTGTCACAATCTGAAATCATGAGAATACGTCTGAAGACCGGGGAGAACGTTACTGGGATCGGATTTCTAGCTCATTTCAAGACTGGTAAAAAAAACTTTTGCAATTAATTTTCTAATAAGTGCTTTCCCTAATCAAGCAATTTTTTGTCCAGTATGGCATTTAAATGCTTCCCTCACGATCAGTCTATCGAACCCTGGTCGTCTGGCTTCTATCAACTATCCAGGGATGGGTCCGTCCCGGAGTACGCTCCGCATGCGACTGGTGGCCCCTCACGGGCACACACTCGCGGTAGCGTTCAGTTCCACTGCCCTCGTACCAGCTGGTGAATATCCATGTGGAAGGGGTGCAGGCTGGATCGAGGTGAGATTTTATTATTATTTTTTATGCTAAAAGGGGCAACAGAGCCGACGGCCTACCTAGTTACCCATAGATATCCGCAACATAGATTTGCGAATGACTACTTCATGTCGATCTTCTGTGAAAGAGTGGTACTTCCCTGGTCGAGTAAGCCCATATTCGAGCTGCAGTAACTTGACCACAGCTAGGCTCTACCATCTCAAAAATATTAAAATGCTGAAACCTAAACGTTACTTCTATTAAATTTTAGTTAATTTTACTGAAAAATCTAGAAGTTTAAGACCCAGTTTCACTAATCAATGTTAAATAAGTAACATCGTGTTAAGGCGTTTGATGCTCTGTGAGATGTATCTAGCGTCCCACCACGCACAAATGTCCGTTTAAATGTCTTAACCAGCCACTAATATTAATTCCTGCTCTCGAGCTCCGTCTAATGGCTAACAGAATGTTAATGGCATTGTCAAAACTAAATTGTCCAATCACAGCCCAGTTTTCTTGTAACCATAGTAACGTCATCTGTTTCGTCACTTTCGACTATTTCCTTGTGATTATTAATAAAGTGGATTAAAATTTCATTTAGTATGATGATTTTGCCTCCAGTTTTTCTATGACATCGTAAATTAAGTTTTCTTTTAATTTCTTATAATTTGAACACAATTTATGTCTATATTTTTATAAATATTGTGTTGTCACAATAATATATGACACTCTTCATTGACAACACGATATTGACAAGTAACACCTGGTAAATTGAAAAGAAAGCTTTTTGTGTGCTAAATGTATGCAACCAACGATATATAAAATATGGTCGCATTAGCTTACAAGTGACGTATCGAGGAATATATGTATACGATCAAAGTATAAAGTGGTGCATCGTTTCAAACGTGCTGTGTTAAACGCTATAGTTTCCACTTGCTCGTCTTATAACAAGAACGTATAATTTGGTAGTCGGTCATTTGACATGACGTTTAATAATGCGTTGTTAATCTGTCATCGTGGAACGTAAATATTTTAACAAACATTTATAATTTTGAAGGTTGGTTAGTAAATGTTGTGATTAGACTAAACAAACATTGATTGGTGAAACTGGGTCTAAATTAATAAGACTTAAAAAATCCATATAAGTTATTTTGTACCAGGTGGTTGATAGTTACACGGACAATAATGGCACACAGTGGACTCTTTGCGAGGCGAACCTTCGTAAAAGAGCCGTCGAGAGTGCTCCACTTGTCATCACCTCATATTTACACTCACTGATAGTGACGCATCACTCTGGCGAAGAACCTATGGAACTAGACGTGGCAGTCGTAGTAAATATTGGTGAGTATAAACTTATCGTAAAATATAAGTATGAATTCATTGTCGAAGAATGTTTTTTTAAGACTGATTTAAAGAAAATTATTAGAAAATAGTTAAAATGATTTCAGATGCAGAATATCACAATAAGGTTCTCCTACTACCGGATGAAACTAATTTAGAGTCTTGTTACCCGAACCCGTGTCTTCATGGTGGACAATGCGCCTTTGAGGATTCCAGAAACATGTGTCAATGCTTAGGATATTATACAGGTAATTCACTAACCTTCTACACAAAGACTGTTTTAATATCTTTAATTATAGGTATCTTTAAAAGTTCAGCTCTGGTCTTTATACGTTTTTTTCTGTATACTGCAAAACTTTAAACTATAACCTTTCTTAAACTAAGCCTTTGAAAGACAATGAAATATAACATATAACAACCACTTCATTACTAATCGTTTTAATCCAGGTGTTTTCTGTCTCCTGACTGCGTGCGAGCGATCCCCCTGTGTGAACGGTAATTGTTCGTTGGCGGTGGACGGGGCACTTTGTACCTGTGCTCGGGGCTGGAGAGGCAGACGCTGCGCCGAGCGCGTGAGACCTTGCGCATCACGGCCCTGCAACCACCGAGGGGCCTGCGTTGAAAGGGACGCCGGCTTCTTGTGTCAATGTAACCCTTCATGGAAAGGAAAAAGGTACGTTGAGTTATAGAAGCCTTTGAGGTCTCATCTAAACAAAAACTCTTACCACACTTATTGATGAACCAACCTCTTCGACTAAAATTATTCTTTTGGAAACTTTTTAACTAAAATTAAATAATGACTGTCTCGTATAAAATTAAAAGTGTGTTATATCCATAATTTTTCAGATGTGAAATACCTAATCCTACGCCAAATATCGTAGGTTTGGGTACACGAATGATGCAAGAACCATTTTGGCTCGGTTTATTCGCTGTTTTCGTGGTCCTCGGTTTTATTGGCCTGATTTGGTGTGGGAAAAGACACTTCCCTGAAAAGATAGAAAAACTTCTAGCTGAAGAAGCCGACAGATGCGCGAGACGTGAGTTTGCTTATATATTATTCATTACTATATTGGAGGACAAATCTTTAGGCTAACACGGAAAGAAATCAGAATTTTACTTTGGAATTATATATTTGACACAATGTACCAGCTTTCACAGTTGAATCACTGGTCACAATATTTTCACATATTTTATGAATACAGTCACCGTTCATTTAAGCTTTTTCTATGTCTATAAAATCATTACCGCTGTTTCGTTTCCTAATGCACCGTCTCAAATGGTAAGGACACATTTACAATTTATTTCTTCTATTTCTTATTTCTTTCTGTCATGAAACGGTATCAGAAACTATATTATGATTGTTAAATACTTTTTGGACTAAAGTAATTGCGAATATGTTTTATTTTTAAAGCAAATCGTTGATAAATAAATTAATATTTATTGTTTCTGGTATCACGAACGAAACACAATTCTTTAACCTTGCTATTTTAATTACATATGTGGGATTTTAACACTTTATGCAATTTAACAAATATGAAAAGAAAAGCAAGCTATGGCACACTAAGAAGAGGACTATCGTATTTTATAACAATCTAATTAATAATTGATTAAAAACAGAGTTTAATTTCATTGTTAATGATAATCCCAATATTATAAAAAATAAAATTTTGGATGATTTTCATACTCAGTACCTATAGATTTCCGTTATATATGGACTAATTGTATGCCATCAAATATAATATTGAAAATTCCCAAGCCCGTAGGTCCATGAGATTGTGTTTCTAAAACGCATTTTGGTGTGTAGATTACTGTATGTTGTTATCAATGTTTAATGGTAAAATTTCAACAGCCATTGGTATTCTTGTCCCTAGACTAGATGTTCTAAATATCCGTAATCTTTTCTTGACATACATTTTTTTATTTGGACCATCCAAACCGAGTAATCGCTTTACGAGCATTGCTGTATAAGCGTCCCATAAGTGGCAGTTTTATACATAATAATGTGAATCAAATTGGTGGTTGTCCGTCGACAACGCTAGCGGCGCGCGGCGGGAAGTACGCCGCGGTGCCGCAGACCGAGGCTAGTGACGGCGCGTTTGTCCACAGCGAGGACAATGGCCGCGGGCGGGGGAGGGGGAGGGGCAGGAGGTGCGGGAGGGGCGGCGGGTCCAGGGCCGGGGCCGGAGGCGCGCACGCTGCTCACGCGGCTGGGTATCCGCAAGCCATCGATGACGGGGGCTCACCCGCGCGCGCGCACCTTTAGTTTGGACGATCTGTTAAAGCCGCCACACGGACGTAAGGAGTGGAGCGTTGGCCGTGCACTCCGCAATCATTCATCACATTGTTATCTTAATACCATCACTGTTACACGTTCTTATCGGTTCTTTTTGTTTTTGTGTTGTCCTTTTTATATAATTTTTGTTCTTGTGAATCTAAGTTTTGTTGTGGCTATCAACAAAAACTGGCTTAGATCGCAAATTTATTGCGAATACGTATATATTTGCATGTCTTCTTTTTTTATATTTCTGTATGACTAAACTTTATATTTTATCAATGAGTAAAACTATTACGATTAATCTTTTTAAAGATTAATATTAACTAATATATATAATTAGTGTTATATTCATGTGTAAAAATTACCAAAATCGTTTCTCAGTCATGAAGTTCATTCATTTGAAGCGCACCAGCTATATACAGTTGCGGAGGGCGCGATGTAATCTGTTCTTGGATGTAACCTGGTGTGGAATGCTATCCTAACCGTCTTGCCACCGACTCTATGTTGTATGCACCCTGAACCACTTAGCAACTCTTCAGTAGACGCTCCTTCCTTCGTTAGCACCTTACTAGATCGTCCAAATTATTTCACCAGATTAAATATCTTCATCAATATATATTATTATATTTGAGTTCTATAATAAATCACGCTGTTCGTATTAGCAGTTTCGAGATTGAATCTGAAGATATGTAATCTGGTATAAAATACTATCTAGATGTCGCTTAGCATGTTCTGGACATTGTTCTGCGCACTACTTTTAATAACTCTTTCTTTTATACTTTGTTATTTTATAATTATTGGACCTTTTCAATGCTTTGATGATGGCTCATAACTATGTCCTTAAAAATTGTATAGTTTTTGCAATGCAAGTTGATATAAAACTCAACTAATTTCTATTTTTTTTCCTAGAATCTATTCAAAAACTATACAATTTGTAGATGACTCACCACCATATTTATTTATTTTTTATATAAAAATTGATTGCATTTTGACACTAAACAAGATGAACACAAATTAAAATTGGCACGAATAATTAATTCAATAAATATTTTAAGCACTATTATCCTAAAGAATTGGCTTCCATTAGTTGCACTTACTTCTTTTTGAACTTTAAAGCATGTTAGTAATTTTACATAAAATTTACAACTGAATACTTCTTGACGATAGGTTCTGATTTTATTAATATTTATTTACCATCAACATTGTATGTAGTGTATCTATTGAAGTTTTAAATGAATGTATTTCATCGATGAAATTCTTATACAGGGTCTCCTTCGCCTCGTAAAAAACGCAACAATTCTACACCAACAAAGAAAAACGCAGCGGAAAAGAAACAGATATTACAGCAACTTATAAGCCCGGCTCCAGCTAATGATCACTCGAAGAAAATAAGTATGGGTGAATTAATACAGATGTCAGAAAAGAGAACTCTGAGTACAGTAGAAAGTGCCCCTGCGTTTGTAGAATATGGATTAGACATTAAAGACACGTCATTCGCTAGTGAAGCCTCATCACCCTCCACGTCACCGTCAATGCGTCAAGTATCTGATCCTAAATTGGAAAAGAAAGTGACGTTTGCAAGATTATTGAACAAAGTTTCAGCCGAAATGAGCTCGAGTTCGGATGTTGATATGGTTAATACTATTGCAATTCCGATGGCCGTCATAGCTGATAGAACTATAAAGGCAAAAGCATCGAGCACTCCACCCTCACCTGGTGTAGAAGTCAGGTCCCCCCACAGTACGTCAAGTAATCAAGGAAGCGACTCCCTATCCAGCCTTGATTTGACCTTGGCTAACGGTGCTATAAAGAAATTTTCTAGGTATAATGGCAAAGAAGTGTTTTGCTAGTACTTTTATTACTATGATTTTAGAAACGAATCATTTATATTAATTTTATTTATAACTAAAATTCCAGAGCACCAAAAATATCAAGCGCTGATTCCATACTCGCAATGTTCAGAAATTTTTCTTCGTCAACTGCTATTGTTTCTCGAGCTTCCTCTGGTGCTATATCTGCATCCAGCACACCCACAGCATCATCACCTCAAGACGACACCGTCGATGCCGATGATCTGTCAATAGCATCCTCACATATACCTTCTTTAGCACCCGATTCTCCTATCTCAAGACCACACACAACTATCGAAATACAGGTAAAATATTGAAAATTTTAAATAATGTTACTCTCAATGTAGAAAAGACATTTAATGTGTATATATTTTCAGGTTGTTGACCCACTAAGCTCTCATAAATCTTCTACGTCCGGTAATCTCCTACATCCTCCATCAATCCTTCTTGAAGTGCCCAGTAGTATCAATAAGTGTCTGTCTCCTATTCGAGAACTCCCAACACCACTGCCAACTCCGCTCCCTACACCACTACCGACCCCTCTGCCATCACCTCGAATGCCACGAGTCAAACTGGAACAGGATATCAAAAAAGATTCCGTAATTTCTTGTATATCACCAAGCGAAGACGAATTAGAGGAGATAAGGTATGAGAAAGCTGACAGGCCATCAATGGGACTGAGATTAAAGGTAAGATCATGTCGCGACTTTTTAAAATCACTATAGGATATATTCCTTTTGTTTTAAAGAAATTTATTTTAATTTTGATTTTTCAATTTATTTTTTTTTCTATAAATATATTATTTTTTTAATATTTATAAATATCAATTCACACAATGAAGCTATAAAGTAACAAATATAAAATGAATTTTTCACATTTTTTCTACAGCTTCGACAGCCGGCAGTGTGTTCTGAAACCCCAACACCGTCCACTCACGTCACGGACTCACCCAGCCCTAGTTTTACACACAGTCAGGACTCTGAGAGAGAAATGTCACCTCTCTCTCCCGCCCCGCCCTCGCTGAGAGTTCCCGTCCTCACTATTGAACGACCCTCACCTGGATCCCCTCCACCGAGAAGAACCCCACCACACTTAGACTATCAACCACCGCCACTAATAACAGTTACATACAACCCCAGCGAAGAATCAGATGAACCTATGTCACCAAGACCACCTCCGCCAACGGCAAATATGTGCTATTTGAGCCCCTTTTCGATGTCGGCAAGAGGAGAAAGGGCACCATCAGAATCGAATTTGTCATCGTCGGGATACAGTTCAATGGCAAGTCCTGGCCCGTCAAGGTGTGGGTCAAGTAATCCGTTATGTCCATCTGAAATGGAAGATCCTGGGTCAGGAGGAGGTCCTTCTTGTTTTCAATCTAGGCGGAGACCACTCATGAAGACGAATTCAAGTCCAGCGGGCTCTAATGATGGAGGCAATGAGAGAAGAAGAGGTAGGTCTGATTCTGAAACACTATCAGACGATCCATTATTAGAATCCAACGACGAAGGAATCGGTACGGATGAAAGAGTAGACGATGTTCCTTCAAGTGCAAAAGAAATGGAAACTTTGACAGTGTTAAAAGAATGCTTAGATATACCACAAACAACTCTATGCTCCCCGAGCGGTGTCACTAAATGTACCATCGTAAAGTGCATAAGTGTTGAACGAGGTTTAGATGAAAAGGCGAGTCTTAAACCGCCAATTTTGTTCTCAGATTGTAGTAGACCATTGAGCCCTGTCAGTTCAAGAAGTGAGAGTCCATTAAGTGACAAAACTGGTTTAGGTAGATTCTCTCCCCAATTTTACGGTAGACAACTACCTTTTACGGATTCCGATGGTCTTTATGATTTTCCAAGTTCCGAATGCGTTAAAGGCGGTAGTTGTAAGAGTGGGAGCGCGTCTCACAGAAAAGCCGGTAGAAGAAGAGACAGGAAAACGACCAGGACAACATCACACGAGCCCGCAGGAACTACTAAATCAACCCTACCACACATGCCGCACTCGATGCATAATTTATTAGAGGTAAATAAAGATCTAGTAATGATTTTCATACAATAACGTTAGATAATCCAAAAAAATGTCCTCAATTTTCATTGAATAGCTGTAATGTTCTACATTTTAATATCTATCTAAGGTGCCCTATGGCAATCGTGGTCGCAAAGGTGGAAGAAGGAGATCTAGGTCTCAAGCGCCGGCTCTCGCTACCTCATCATCATCTGAAGAGTCTGTGTCGAATGCATCCGTAGCCTCTGTGGCATCAGCTCGAGAACTTAGACTACCAGACTTGGAAATGCAGGTGGACTATTAAACTGTGTGCTTTTGTTTCTATAATATTTATTTTACGTATTGATTTGGTATGAATTGTATGCACTTTTTATATTACTACCACCGTTAATAACTTTTTTCCTGATTCTATTGATCATTATAAAAATTAAGTTTTGTTATAAATGTATTTGTTATTAATATTAAATTTTAAATGTTTTAAAGGAGACTAATTAATTACATCACTTTAAATTAGAAACTAATTCATCCTTAGACAATAAAGTTAATCCTCCACTTTATTATAAATTTGAAATCTAAATACTTAAAATGTCCTATTTTTTGTTTTCCACGTTTCTATTTTTACTTTTAGCTTCAGCACTTGCTATTTTATTTCCGAAAAGATACTAGACTTGTATAACCATAATCAAATTGTTAATAAAGTTTGGCACTAATAATTTGAATGTTTTTGACCCAGCACAAAGTCTAGTTATCTTCTATGTGTGATATGTTTCGCTTATTACGTTTTCATTTTGCTATGTTTAGTGTGTCTGTTCACAGCCTGAGCCTGTCAGAACTAAGAAGCCGTTGAGGCGACAAAAATGCCGAAGCTCTGAGGTGATTGAGAGAAATCAGATAACTTTAAAAGAGAAATACATCTTTTATCTTTTACCTTTATATATCTTGATTTAGTCTCAAAATATCTTTTACTCGTAGCGTTAAAAAAAATGTCTAACAAAATTTCATAGTCGGGGTTCAAAGTTATGATGACGCTGAAGATTTCTAATGTATATTTCGATTGTTATTTCGCAGTCTTAGACTGTTACGGTTCTTTGAGATGTAGAATTTTAGAGTATTTTCCTGAAATCACCTCAGAAGTTGATGAATTGGCATTCATGTGATGTAATTTTCAGGACACGTCATCTAAAATATCATCAAGCTTGGACCTAACAGAGGACTCGAAGAAACCGAATAAAATTAGCAAACTCCGGTCCATCGGAAATCAAATAAGGTTTTGATATTGCTACGCTTATTTTATCTTGATTTTGCAGTTTCAATATCTTCCAATATTTATTTTTCATCAACTATTTTTCTTCTTCTTCTAACATAGTAAAGAATTCTATAGAATGTAGAATAGACGTTTGTTTTGATGTTCATGGAATGTTTTGATATACATGTAATCTAGCTATTAGTACCGTTATCCTCTAGATGAAATGAAAACCTATCGCAGTGTGAAAATCCAAGTTTTGGGTTAACTGAGACATTTGCATATTAGAGTAAGTATAATAAAAATGATTTAATTATATTTTGTATGAATTACAGATTTCTCCGTCGGTTAGAAAAAAGTTTAAAAATGAAAGAAAGCTACCCGGCGATCTCAGACGACGAAGGAGACGAGTCGTCCAGCGTGACGTCACCCTTGTTACAAGGTAGGAAGGAACTGAACCGTATGACCGGCCACGCGACATCTGCTCCTCTGCTGGGGGCTGCAAGACCTAAAATCTCGCGGCAAAGACGGTACGAGAGATCCCTTCTTAGTGAAGAGACGAGGACTTTGAGTACCGCGCCTGGCTATGATAACTCCGATTGAATTATCTTTAATTTTAATATTATGTATCCTTACCTCAAGTTTGCATCGTCAAACTACACAAAGAGAGTCTAGAGTTTTTTGCGTAAGCCCACGTTAATACTAATTGGCGAAGATTCACGAATACACTGAAAATCTTCGTGAGTAGTTTTATGACGCAAACTAGTGCGAAGGTTCTGAAATATAACTTTTTTATTGATACCTTTTTCTAGTCAGTTTTATATCTTCAGAACTGTTCGATGGTAACAATTTTATACTTGCTAAATTCGATCGGATATGAGAAAGTGGATCCGTGTCGTGAAATCCTAGTGTGAGTGTTATTTACAAGATTCTAATCTAATGTGATATAATGTACTATAATAGTAGAGAAGTTACTTATAATTTATATTAAATAATAATAATAATTCGTTGATCTTTCGTTACATTTTGATGTCTTCGATTTCGTAGATAACTTTGTAAATAATTTCCCGAAGCAATAACTTATTTTATAGGCGGTAAATATTTTATTGAAAGTTATTAGGATATTTAGAATAAAACCTTATGAAGTAACCTATTGTTATACTCGGTTAGCGGATGATTACGACGCATTTATGAGTGATATTATGTTTTTTGCACTTTGCTATCATTTCTTAAATACTAAGTCTATTGTAACAAAGTTTTTTGTAAATATTTTTAAACATATTGCTCAAATGCATATTTTGTGAGCTGTCTTTTTGTGCACTTTTTGCTACTTTGTAAATACATAATTGTTTGTCGATGTAAATACCGGAGTTCGAGAGAATGTTTTGTTTTCTTTGTAACTAAAATATTTGCTAAAAGACTTGTAAATCGTTAGTCGGTAAGATGAAAATAATTCAAAAGGCCCAAAAAAAATGGTATACCAAATGCACAATTACTATTACTCTTATACAATAAGCACATAAAGTATAGTTATCAGAAAACAATATAAAGATCGCACTTATTTAGAATAAAATATAATTTCTCTGTAGATATCTTCCTTTGCTCTTTGTTTCTGAATATTTAATAACTGTGTACAACTTTTGTCTTAGGAACATTAGTGTCGCTAAATACAAAACTATGGCCTGTTTATTGAGACTGATTTTCTAAATCTTATTCTTAACATTGTATTTATTTTTGCTTACTGTATACTCCATTACTTTCTGTATGATTTTCTAGCAAGATTTTCTAGCAATACCAAAGTGGGAAATATTTATACTAACTTAATTTCATTATTTTTAAACACGTTTACTTATTCTTTCCTTCCGGCGAATGATTGTGCCTTTAATCACAATATTTTAAATGCCCGTTGCTTTCTTCTAACTTTCCCATCATCGATATATTCCTTTGTTTGTTCAAACAATAAAATAAATCGCAAGCAATACGTTAAGTATCTATAACTCTAATTAATTATACATACATGTTGAGAACCGCTGTGATTGCTTAGTTAGAATTTCATACACCGCATCTTCTAAATAACTTTCCTTTATATATTTTTAACCCTTCATCCCTATACATTTTTATTCTACAAATCTAAACTTCGAATTTAATATAAGTCATTTCGTAGGACCATTGACGTAATATTAGATTATTCACTTATTTATAAGAATAAAGTGCACCTTTCTAGGTTAAGGTCTTGATATAACGCATACTTCATAGTAAAACATTAATTTCTTTAGCCGTATAGAAGTTACTTGTGATCTATATGAAGGGAGTGTAATCTTTCGTCCGTTCCATACTCTCAATGAACCTAATTTTCTTAATTGTAAATAGAAATGTTTACACTTACACATTTAAAGATGTATAATCATTATAATCACCATTTTATTCACCACAGTGTAAAACAAATAAATTTTGCTTGTTACTATAATGTTTTATTATCCTACTTAAGTACTTACAACTTAAATCTGATTTTTTACCTTTACACTAGTAAGTCTCGTTAGTGGTAATAAATTTCCAGGTGAAGAGAAGCTATTTTCCATTGTTTTCTTTTTTGTCTTTTAAAATTCATCCTATAATCAATGTCCCCAACCTTAACCATGTGGAGATAAAATAGTTTTTTTTTAAGTTGATTTAAATCTAATATACTTACATAACGTAATGTGAAATTAGTTTTAATGCAAATTATTGGACACTATTTTTGGCGTTTTTTATCGAAACAGAAAAGCAATACAGTTTCTACATATTTCCTTCTACAGCAACAATCACTGATGATATATTCTTAAAAGGGATGACGCAAGAGAAAACTTTTTTCTTGTGTATTAATAAACCATTAAAAATAATTCACCAAGAATAAGTTAGTTTAATAATGTATAAAAAAGGATTTGGACTGTAAATTCGTTCAGAAATCGATGACGATTTATTAAAACACAACAATTGTTTTTATTATTTATTGCATATTTACATTAATAATAAATTGAAAAAATAAAATTAAACAGGACCTTTTATTGCTTATTATAATATTTATTTATTTAGTTGAAATACTCAATGAATTAATACAAGTACATACTTACATCAAGTAATTTTATACACAAGTATGTATTTATTTAAAATAATAAAAATCCCAACAATCGCTCATCATGGATCCAGTAATAAGTTTTCTTTGAAGATAATTTAAAAACCAAATAATTTAAAAACCAAAGACAATATATAATAACATTTAAATGAGGAATACTTTTAATTGCTGGAAAAAAAATAACACACACACACAAAAACACACACATCGACAATTTATACACACAAAAAATATGTTAGAAATTAACAAACGTGATGTTGAAATATATGAATACTGTTATTATGTAAAACCAATAAAGATAATTATAAGTTTGCATCATCTAAATACTGAAAGTATCGAGTGATTTCTAAATCAAAACGTATATATAATAACATTATGTACGTATGGAGAATTATTCGTATCTGGAAACGCATCGTAATCAGTTTGAGAATGAAAACATGTAGTAAGGTTACCACTGAATTACATTCGTTTAAAATACGATTAGACTTGTGGAAGTAACTGAAAATATTAATATAGAAAAAAATATTATATAATTTTATTTGAATCATCTCGTTTTTGACGTTTTTTTTATCGAATCTAACACAACACTATACTCTACTGTTAAATAAAAACTAATTATTATGCTTTACAATCATTATGGCTATTAGATCACGAATTTATCATTATGTATTTAACTTTATTTGTACTCGATGTGTTCACAGTATATCACAAACTATTTGTTACAAGATTATTATGACGTTATAAAAATATTTTTTTTATCCATTTTATGTACCGTTGCATCATGTACTTGTGCGTATGTTACATTACATATACGTAATAAATACTTAATGAAAATAACTTAAAAAACAACCAACAGAGATCAAATATTATTATTATTATAAGAAAATTTTATTGCCATTTTATTATTACGCAAGACAATATAATACCTATTATAATACTTTAAAAATTAAATTTAAATAAATACATAATTACTAAATATTCAAAAAACTGTCTCGCTATGTACAAGTTATTATGAAATTAATATTTTTAAAAGCAATTTTACAATACATTCTCAACCTTAATACGTATTGAAAATGAATTAATTGCGAGATATTCTAAAACATACCATCATGTATGCCAATAGGGACCAAAATCGCTAGGAAAATTGCAAAATTTCTTAAAACTAACCTCCAATCGTCGGGAACAGCGTAAGGAAGAATAATTCCTGTTAATTTATGTATCTCATGAGCGGTGAATATGAAAATATATGACGTCAGTATCAGATTAAAGACTGGCACGCCAGGAACAAGGACCAAAACGCCATGAGTATCAGCCGCCAACCATATATGTGACTGGCTGGCGAATAGTTCCAACGTTATAGTCCCAAACCACGCGAAAAGACTAGAATGTCTAGTCCGAAGTACACCAGACACATTCCTCAGTATAATATACCCAATGATGGGCAAAAAAGTCACGTAGGAATGAATTTCATTGCAATCAAATGTGTTGGTGCAGAAAAACGTGAATGTTATGTAACTTCCTAACGCAATGAACGCTAATAGGGTAGCGGTCAACGCGATGCCAGGAGTGAACAAGTTGCTGTGGTTGTTGTCGTCCAGTAAGTTATACTTCTGTGCTAGAAGATAAGCCGCCGCGAATATTATACCGTACGCCATCGAGTAGCTGGAATTAAAATACACATTCAATTTTTTACTCTTAAGAATAATGAGATGAAAATGTAATTTCAATGTGTTTTGTAGTTAATAGTAACAAATAATAAATATAGACATGTTGTCGTATAAATAAAATGGGAGCTTTCAATGTATATAACTTATTGTTTAATTTGTTTTCAATCATTAAAAAATCTATAGTCATATTTTGAAGATAATCTGGATAAACATCGTAAATCGGCATGAAATATTTATGTAGTCCAAAAACTTAATGAATATATGCTTTTAAGTGAAATTAATTTTACTCTTAAATTGTAAAGCTTTTATAAACACTGAATCTATTCTTGTAATATCCAAAAATGATTTATCAAACAATAAAACCTGCTTATCAAATAAACGCGTTTGAATCATGAATTATATGAAATTCAAGTTCAACTTATCAAAAAACATGAAAAATGAACCAAATGTATGGAAAATTTCAAAAAATTACCACCAAATACATATATAGGTTATACTAACCGATCCTGTTTCCAATCCAGCCACCACTGTCGTATATCATCATCGGAGTTCACGAACAGCGCCTTCCAGGGTCTCATGAGGAAGATCTTCTGGAAGAACACCTCGCTCATGTACAGCACCGTCACCATCGACAACAGACCCAGCGTCTTGATGACCGTGTACACTGACTGGTACGGCTCTAGGGAGTGAGGGGGTGAGAGGTGGGGGGGCAGGGAGAAGATCGCGAACATCTGCGGATATATATATAAATATGTATTTAGTTAACCGAGTCGAAGTGGTGGCCTAGTGGTTAAAAGGCCCGCCTCTCATGCACGAGGGCGCAGGTTCGATCCTAGCCCGAGCAAGTACCAATGTGATTTTTCCGAGTCATATATACTTTCTTAGAGTATTTAGACATTACTGATTCCATTCCCAAAGAGGGTTGATGTCAGGAAGGCGGCCGGACGTAAAAACAAATAGCCTAAACTATTCACAACATGTAAGGCTGACCCTTGCTAAAACTGTCAAAATTGCCAGGTAGAAGAAGATAGTTAACCGAGTCAAATAATGATAGCCATGTTCATTGTTTAACTTTTTGTAGTTTTAAAGATAGATTAGATTTTTTTTTAAAGAAATTTATAACTAAATCTGTGTTGAAACTTTATATTTTAAACTAACAAATAATTTGGATTTAATTAAAACGATAATCATATAAAACTAACAATTATAAACAAAAACTAATTTAAAATGACTTTTGTGTCCAAAAAACAAAATTAAACTATGTATTATATCTATAGAAACTCACCAAGGTGTACCAGAACGACACCAGCGGTATGAAGCTATAGAACTGGTATGGTCTGTTCATAGTGAGACACAGAACAACGGTGAGGAAGTTCAACCTGAAGATAACTCTGAAGTATCTCACAAGCCCGGTGTCCCCGGTTTTCCACGTGTAGTAGAAGTGGCCATATCCAGTCAGGAATAAGTAGGAAGAGACGAGCGCCCTAACTAGCATGTATATAGGCAACACCTTGCTAGCACCTGTGACCTGGTAAACTAGAATCACAAGCTGCATCCAGCCCTTCCACTCGTTTGTTTGTTCGCGATGAAGCACTCTTGAATGACTGAAACAACATCGAATTTGGACTAGGAATTGGGATGATATGTAAAAAAATAATTATACGAAGATACATAATTTGATAGATTTTGCAATTTAGTGTTTATGGGTGTAGATAGAACATAACTTTAGGATTACTAAAAACTGTATAGCATTTGATAGGTCTACTTTATTAAAGCTAACAAATATTGATAATTCTATATACCTGCTTGATCTAGATTCATCAGTGAAGAACAGGCCCAACGCGAACACATAACCGACTGGTAGCCAAAAACTCCATTCAGAATAATATTTATTCTCCTTCATAAAGAAATTAGTTCTATCACATAGATAGAAATAGGCCATTATCATGCCTAATTTTGCCATAGCCACGAGAGCTGATGGTGTTTCATTCTGTACTGCGTTAACGAGAGCGTAACCTTCCATTCGTTGCTTGATTCCTTGCGACCACTTCCACAACCATCGTACACCGGCCAGTACTGCGCTGGTGACGAGTGGGGAAAATCAATTAAGTTATATAACATGTTTTGGGAGAAAATTTCAGATGGATTGAAATAAAAACTATCTATCTCAGTTAATTTTTTTCAGTTTGATTGCCCGTGTTATACATATTGTTCAGAATGTTTGACAAAATTGAGTGAAGAAAATTTCAATTAAATGTTCTTAGCACGTTTTAATATGAGGAAAATTCAAAGAAATTCAATGCATAAATTTTGCTTACAAAGTATAAAGATGCATTATGCTGCCTAGGTTATCACGAAATATTTACAACCCATGGTCCTAACCCTGTTCATTGGTAGTTCATATTCAATAATAAATCTGATCTATCACATATATGTATATCCTCGTGTCCCCTACTTCGTATATTCATAACTCACCAGAGCAGAAACAACGCGAAGGTGAGTAACTGTAGTTGTGTGCATGGCTCGGGTTGCGCGCAGCATGTCCCGTCGTTAAAATTCATGTGGTCATTACAGAACATGTTGAGGAGTATCTGCGCCGCGTGCTGGAGCCCTGGCCCGGCGCCCGGCGCTCCGGCAAGGCGGGCCGAGTTCCATATCTTAGTCGCGCTGTGTTGGAGGATCTACAATACAACATATTATATCAATATACGAGAAATAGTTGTCTTAAGTTAAGGCTAATATTTTTTCGATTAACTACGGATTTTTATGATTTTAATAATATACTCCCGACATTTTTGTTACTTTGCAGCAACCGTGATTACGGACGGACGAGACGTGAATGCGAAAAATATTAGTTTTATTTAAATATACTCTTGTATTCCACTATAACCGTTTTTTTTTTTTGTTGCAACTTTTTTGTTTGCGTTCACTGGTGGCCTAGTGGTTAATAGTCCCGCCTCTCATGCACGAGGGCGCGGGTTCGATCCTGGCAAGTACCAGGGTGATTTTTTCGAGTCTCGAGTACTTTCTAAGAGTATTTAGACAACACTGATTAATGCATTCCCAAAGAGGGTTGATGTCAAGCAGGCGGCCGGTAGTAAAAGTAATTAGAAAAATCTATTCATAACATGGAAAAAGCTAGGAAATTGCCAGGTAGAAGATATAAGTACAATAGTGCGGGCTCACCTCAACAGCAGCTCTGTTGTAAGCGTCTATATCACTGTTGCTGATCTTCACAGTCTTCTGATCCACGTCCTCCAACAACTTCCACAACACCTGGCTCCCTCTACCTGATAACGAATCTATCGGTTGGACCAACTGTGTGAGGTTACGTTTATATTCCTCTAATATGGGTTCCGTAGCGTTGTGGGTCTTCACCAAATTAAGACCGATGCTAGCCACTATCACGGATGGAGGCCTGTCAGAATATTGCCTGGTGGAAGAAGAAATTGTCTTATATTATTATGACCATGCCTTAAAATTGTAAAGATCGCAAAAAGAGAAATGTCCTTCAAGTAGGAATGTAGGTGAAGTTAAGAACTTGAAATTTAAACGATTTTGAAAAGCATAGGGTAAAAATACGATTGTTTTTTAAAATTTCAAAAATGTTTAAGTAATAAATACTTAAAATGAAATTTGAATAGATAATACAGAATAGGAAATTCATCAACTATTTCTTAATTTGAAACTACATCTGGAATATTCCGCTTCAGTTGTTAAATTCTGGAAGTTACAGGTGTAAATCTTTCTAATTTTAATTCCAACATAATAATAGCTTATCACACATTATATAAAAATAAAATATTTATCTATTAACGTTACCAGGTCCTAAACTGTTCCACCATAGTCCTTGAAACATCTTCACTCCATATGAATGTTACTGATAATTTTAATTTATTATCAACATATGTGTAATTCGGCTGGTGATGGTCTATCGTTGAATATGAAGAATCTAGCTTAAGACGAGTCCTAAGAACACCTGGATAGAATAACAATGAGTGTAAAATAATATAAGAAAAAATGTCTTCATAAAGAATAAATACGCCTATTTTCATGATTTTTCTTGAAATGTCTTAATTCTATGCTTATATGTTCATTTTATATTGAACCAATTTTATACTAAATAATTGAATTGTAGTGTTAATGGTACTGTATAATGAAAATCTATCAAGAGCCAACATTCTTAAGTTCATGATGCAAGTTCTGTTTGTATATATGGAATTATTATTTCAACATTAATAACTGAATTTAAATTATATCACATATATAAAGACACTTTAATTTATGAGGTGAAACTTCTGATGCGACTTCCAACAAGGTTGCATTAAATATTCAATGCTCCTGAGGAGGGGGAATAGAAAGAGACAGTGCGATAGCAGATGAGTGGGTTAGATGTGAATTGTAAGCAATGTTTATAAAGTTTGTCTTAAAGAAATAATATCAGTTCACTCAACATTGATTTCTACTCCTTCCTATTTTCATTTAGACATTACAAAGTTTCACTACTTCCGAGCATAGAGACTCCACAAAAGATTTTTTATTTATATTTTAGGTAAAACTATTCATATTATAAATTTATAGTATATATTTATACTATGACAGCATATTTAACAGACATCTATATGTGGAATAGCTGAATATATTAATAAAGGTCACAGAAATATTTTTGTATGTTTGTATTTCTAAAACTTACCAAGAAATCATTATTTTTAAAAAAATCACTCACATTTAGAAACATTTATGGAATAACAAGTTATGTATAACATTACAACATGAGGTTTATAATGGTAATGAAAATGAAAACTACATCTTCAAAATTACTATAAAAAATCGTAACTAATAACAATTAGTAATTAAAACAATAACTTTACTTGATTGAAAACAATAATATTGATTTCGTCATAATTTGCATTTATTATTAACAAACACAATATCTTATCAAAATGAACAAGCTTATTGTTGTAAAAATTAATTGTAGGGAATACTTTTTAATGCAATAAGTATTTGTACATAGTTCAAAGATAGTATATAAGTAAAGATTAATTGAAAAAATAGGAATAGTGTAAAATCTTGGTGAGTATTACAGACATACTAAATATTTTTGGTTATATTTATACTAAATATTTTTGGTTTTATTTATTTTATAGAATAGATTTATAGTATATTCTATAGTATTTGCTGTTAATATATTTTTTTTTCTACATACCTATAAAATATTCATACAACTGTTCCAATCTCGAGTCCCCGATGAATGCAAAACTATTGTATTTGCCCCAAAATGCTAAATACCGCAAACATCTTCTTGCATCTCTGTAATTGTAAATATAAAATAATATTATAAAAAGTTTATAAGATTTTTAATATACTGGTGGGAAATTAAAATTTGGCAACACATAACAAATATTTTTTTTCAAATTTGGGCATATCAAAACCAATTAGTGTAAAATAGTAATAAAATTATACAGGGTGACTGGTGAATTACTATCAATATTTAAGGAGCATACTCGGTACATGATTCTCATTCGAATTATGTAAAAAAAATAGGTACTTAATTTTTGACAAAATTTCCGTATAAATAAATAAAGTGTGTACACGTTCCAAGTGTTCCATGTGTGGACGCGTGCGGCGGCGTGCTGATACAACACTACGCCGCCGCCGCGTCTGTGTGAGTGTGTGTGTATACCTAATCTGTAGGGTGTTCATACGATGCGTAATTAATTACATAACTTTTGGTTACTTAACTTTACTCAGAAGTTTATTAATATTTATGTTATATTAATTTTTATTTTGTCATATATGATCGTCAAATATCACGTCCTCAAATATCGATAGTAATTCACCAGTCACCCTGTATATCAAGTAAAATAATGAATTTGCATACAGATATTAACTTTGCCTTTTTAATAGCTGTAATGTAGATTAAAAATACCAAAAAGTAAAAATATTCAAAAGATTTCCTCACAAAATGTAAATATAAACTTTGTATTAGATCTTAAATGCACTTCAGATAAAGACTAGAATATATCTAATTGAAAAACAGCTTATTGTATTTGTTATAATAAATAAAAGAAGTTATTTTGTACCATGTCAGGTGCATATTACTAATCGGGACAATTCTTATTAGAAAATAGACAACAGGTGGAAATCTTATATACAGGGTGACTGGTGAATTACTATCAATATTTAAGGAGAATACTCGGTACATGATTCTCATTCAAATTATGTAAAAAAATAGGTACTTAATTTTTGACCAAATTTCCGTATAAATAAATAAACCGTTGACATGCCCAAGTGTTCCAAGTGTGGACGCGTGCGGCGGCGTGCTGATACAACACTACGCCGCCGCACGTGTGTGTGTGTGTGTGTATACCTAATCTGTAGGGTGTTCATACGATGCGTAATTAAATACATAACTTTTGGTTAACTTTACTTAGAAGTTTATTAATATTTACGTTATATTAATTTTTATTTTGTCATATATGATCGTCAAATATCACGTCCTCAAGTATCGATAGTAATTCACCAATCACGCTGTATAGAGTTAGGAGTTTCAAGAATAGATATCAGTAGTACAAACATACGTTTTAGAATATTTATGCAACATACATCCATAAGGTTGCCATTCATGATCTCCTTTGTACCTTCCTGATGATAACAACCAAGTGCATGAGTCAGGCCCTGAAAAATTGTGTCCTCCATTTAATTAAGTCGTCTATTAATATTTTAAAATAAGTTACAAATCTTCCTACCATAACGTAAATGTAGAATACCGTGGTACCCAATAAAACCGATGACTAGTGCAAATGCGAGTAATTTTGCATTTTCTACATTTAATTGGTCTATGAACCATTCTGCGGAACTTTTCTTTGGATAAGTACCCATATTTAAATAAATAGAGCTGGGCACAAGCTTGTCCTTAAATGGCAAGTTATAAAGAGTTAACGATCTTATTTAATAAATTGATGCATCGATAAATTTCCCATAATCTTAATAGGAAATATTAAGTGAGGTAATTTGAAGTCTTTAATAATTCACATTTCACGAAAGCAAAACAATAGATTAGAAAAATATTTCTATAATACATTTGACACTGACAATCGTATTTTGTTGATAATTGATAAGCCGGTTTAACTTTTTAATCTTGCTTAGGGTTGTGGAATTTCAGACTTCGTTATAGTGAAAATAAAAGCAACCTCAGTTGTTTTTTTTTTAATCTTTCTTCAAAATATTTTCTCTCTAAATTTATGAAATATGTGATTAAATCTTACTAAAATGTTTCACTTAATTTCAGTATGGTTGGGTTACCGCATCAGATAATAATTATTGACGGCACATTATTCAAAATATTTAATGGTAACATTAGACGTCTAATTTGGTACAATGGCGGCTATGTCCCCGTCGGAGGTTTGTAAAGTTAATTAAAAATAATGTTACGAATAAACTTGATAATTAAGTAAAACTATTTTCAATCCATACGTGATGTTCCATTGCAAATTATTATAAATTTAAAAACATTGTAATTTAATTATTTTATAAATTACCTATACGTAACTGTTGTGACAGTTTTCTTAGTACATTTCTCTTTCTATTGTTGTGTTGTCGATATGTTTGTTTTTAAGTTACTATGAGCTGGATTGGCATGTGAATGTATGTTTCAGCGACGTTTACAGAAAGAGCTTATGTCGTTGATGAAGGAACCTCCGCCAGGTGTCACGGTTGACGGAGACCAGGCCAGCCAAAATCTGACACTGTAAGTTAATTTATATTAAATAATTCCAGATAAATCTCTTATTAGAAAGTGTTCTTCCTCGTCATTGTACGTGACGTCCTGATTGGAATACGTTCTGTTTTCTACCGCTTTTGCGGAAGTGTCTCCTTTTGTGGCTCAAGGAGACTAGTCATGTAAAACAAGAATAGTTTTTTATTATACTTTTCTATAAAGCATTAGTTTTCCAGTAAAATATATTGGTAAATATTAGGTTCAGTTGTAGTTAATGTACTATTAAAACTTTTAAACGCAATCATTTGACAAAGAATACTTATTTTTTAAGTTTTATCAAAAATGAACCCACTAAATATCAGTACACTAGTCTCCTAATTAATTATTAGCTTCCACTAGAACAAGTATTTGTTAAAAAATTACACATCAGCTGTTGAGGTAATATTAAATATAAATATACAGATTTATGTCTAAAATAATAAAATATAAGGCAATCATATGTACATATAAAGTAAATAAACATGTTTGGATACAACTCAAAATATATATAGAATAAGTTGAATATTCTTCTTAAATATTTTATCATACAATATTCAACTTATCCTCACATGCCTTTAATTAAATGGCTTTATTTTTTGAGTTTTCTAATTTATGAAGCCATTGTATTAATCTTGTTGTTTGTTTAATGAGAATCCTTTAAACACAAACAAAAACAGACAGAAACTAAGTGTACTATATCTCTCAAGTGCTCTCTCAAATAAATGTATATTTATATTTTTAATATTAAATATTTTTTCATTTAATTCTATAATTTTAAATGTATGAACCTGTTTCGCTGTTGTCAGTATATAAAAATGTTATAAATTTTATCATAACAAAACAATAATTATTTTTCATAGATATAATTCATATATTTTATTGTATATTGTTTCAACTTTAGTTTTTCAAAAAATATGTATTTTTTTGCTGAATAATACACAATCATTGATTTATAAAATAAAAAAAGGTAATAGAATTGTCTCTGTATAAGGAAATTAATTTCAGAACTTATTGTTTGTTTGTCACAGATTGAATAAATAAATACAGATTGATGAAAAACATTTAAAAAGAACAAATATATTGAAAATTGATACCTATCCAATAGTAATAAGGGTTACATTTGATTGATGTTTTCCTTTATGAATAATAACCTATTTATGGCCAGATATTTTTAACCCAGTCTATAATTGTCTCCAACATTGGCACTATAAATATTTATTTTGACAATGATGTGAAAGATTTCATACATTTGAATACAAACATTATGTATGTATATACATATATAAGAGTGTATATAGTACTAAATATATGTGTACACACAGAGACACACACATATATATACAAATTTTATGTAGGTAAACTGTAAGTTCTATTTTCATTATAATATTGTTTTTCAAAACAATATGTAACCTTAATTTATGACAGTACAAAACATTCGGAATCTTAACTTATTTTAGTCAAATTAAATCAATAAACTTACATTTTAAATTTATTTATTTTTGAATTTATTTTTAATTCATTTAAAAATTTTCATTTTTTTAAATTTGTTTCCTTAATATTTTATAAGACTAAAATACATCACATTGTAAAAAGAATATTTAAAGTTTACAGATTGTTTCCAGTCTCATATTAAAAATGTCTTATTTATTGTTAACCGAGTATAAAATGTATCTTCGTTTATGAAGAGTAAATTCTATGTGTATATTGTTCAAGGTGGACAGTTCACATGGAAGGTGTACCCGGTACATTATATGAGGGTGAAAAATTTGTACTGCAGTTTAAATTTACTAATAAATATCCCTTCGATTCGCCTGAGGTAAGAATATTTTATATATAAGTAGTAAGTTATTTTGGGTTTATATTTATATTATATTCACTAGATATTTATTTTTAAATTAATACCAAGTTATTGTAATAATTATTTTTATTTAAATTACATATATAATTATAGATATTAATAAGTTATAAATGAACTCCACTAATATTATTTTCTATTCAGTGATGTTTAAACCAACATGTAGAACAGCAACAGTGAAATTGAAAAACAAAATTGAGTTTTCATAAAACATCTGAAATAGTAATATATATAAAAAATATGTTAATTTATAAACGAAGTTGCAGGCAGCAACTAGTTTATTGCAATCAATATAAAAGAATGGGTGTTATAAATTAGATTTTGCAAATTAATAATCAAGTTTGAGTTAATATAAGCGTTTTTTCTTATTGTTTACTAGAATCACGTCATTTCTAATCTAATTAACTAATTCCATCGTCTTTGGTGTATCTCATCACTTGTATGGTTAATGGTATTATGGGATCGGTTCTTTCTATTTTTGTTTTATAAGTGTTCCTCATTCGTATGTAATGCTTTTTTCGTTGATTTATAATTTTATATATAACTAGCTTTCCGCCCGCAGCTTCACCCGCGTGGAGTTCGGTTATAACGCGTTTCCAAGAAAACTTTTCAAAAATCTGGGATAAAAACTATCCTATGTTCTTTCTCAAGGTCAACACTATCTCTGTACTAAATTTCATGAAAATCAGTTCAGTGGTTTAGGCGTGAAAGCGTAACAGAGAGACAGACAGAGTTACTTTCGCATTTACAATATTAGTAGGGAATTCGTTGATTTATATTTTTGTTTGCTTTAAATTTGAGTTAGACAACATTAGAACCTTAATTTAATATTATTTTTTACTTAATTAGAAAATATTTTCTTCTTCTTTAGATAGTGGCGTTTCCTTATAGATTTCGCCAATGTCGTGTGACGATATTATACTGAAATATGTAAATGGACTAGAAGCTAAGAGCTAACATAGTGCTTAGGTCATTAGAAAATAGTTTTAATAATATAAATCCTATGTTTCACTGTCTACCTTCAGAATTCAGATAGAAAGTAAATTTAACCATTCAAAGTGGCGTTAAAACAAGTCGAAGTTTATTCCCAAAGAGGGTTGATGTCAGGCAGGCGGCCGGTCGTAAAAACAAATAGCCAAAACTATTCACAACATGTAAGGCAGACCCTGGCTTAAGCTGGGAAATTGCGAGGTAGAAGAAGATTAAAATAAGTCGAACAACAAAATAACAATTAAATTTATTAAGATAAAGCATTGCATGTCCCGATAAGTTCTAGATTGTTCTATGATGAAACAAGTCGTTGCAATCTCAATAAATTAATTACAAAACATCTAGTTGTGATTCAGGTGTCGTCTCCTTGCGCCATCTGTACTATCATGCATTTATTACTCCTCCGATACTCATTTACCGCTTTGAATACGGAAATTACGATAGTATTGAATGAAAAAAACATTAATTAAAAGTGTTTTGTCATCATACGTCATAAATGTAAATGGTAGATTTAATTTTACTATATTGTTTTGTACTTTCATTTAAAAAAAAAAAAAAAAACCTTGAGCAATCAAGGTTGCGTGTAAGGTGCGTCACAAATTAACAGACATCCACTAAAAGATCCAACGAACAAATACGTATTATAATCGGTAAAACTGTAGTGTCGATATAGTTTACGTTCTGTTTAACATATGTGATATGATAATTTTCAATAAATTCTCAAATATCTTTAATATAGACAAAGTATCATTTACATATAGGTAGAAAATATAAAATATAAGACATCTCGTCTGTCCGTGATCACGGTTGCTGCGAAAAAACCGAAACGTCGGGAGCATGTAGTTTAAAATAATAAAATACGCGTAGTACCTAATATGAAAAATATTGGTTTCATTTAAATGAACACTTGCGAAAGTCTTAGATCTCATTTATAGAATATATCAGTGTTGATCGCAGATATTTCACATTTCATGTAATTATATTTTATTTCCTACAAAATATCTGAAGATTATGAGTTCTCCTGATTTCTATGTCAGCCAATGTCAAGGAAAGCCACAAAAATGCGTCACTCGTAACATCACTGAATGGCTAATATTGCCACTTACGATAATGACCCCCACGAAATATTCACAATCATTTTATTTGGGTTCAAATTAAATTGGTTATTATTCTGCGAATGACGTGTACGGGCCATAAACAGGGAGAAATTTCTAGAAAATATTGTAGACAGTTTGAAATACAACAACTAAAAATGTAGGTTGCTAGTAATTGGATAAGATAACTTAATTACCTAAATAAACACGCGTGGCGTTTGTATAAATCGAAAATACTATAGAAAATACCGACACTGGGTCCAAGTATTCATATTCAAGTTACTTGAAATGAACCGTATGTATTATATAACAGAGTTCCGTTAAGCGCGCATCATTAAAAACCTGGATATATTTGAAATATATCTTAACTATCACACTCTTGGCGTAGCTTAAAACATTGCTATATCATCACTTAGTATAATGCAGTAAATATTTAATGAAACAACTTTTACAAGCACTCTGCACTACATTTAAATACTTCCTTAATATATCAATCACCGATGAAGTAACAGTAACAGCTAGTATTTGTATGATCCAAAAAAAGAGTTTTATGCAAATACGAATGCTATTTTCAGTAACGTAATATTAGTTATATACCCATGTTATAGTATAGTATATCTGTTCTTATATATGTAGTGTACATATTATTTGTTGAAGCAGGTGACCTTCGTGGGTAACAACATCCCGGTGCACCCTCACGTGTACTCCAACGGCCACATCTGTTTGTCCATCCTCACCGACGACTGGTCGCCGGCGCTCTCCGTACAGTCCGTCTGTCTCTCGATAGTCTCCATGCTCAGTAGCTGTAAGGAGAAGGTAACTGGAACACACACACACGCACGCGCGCACAAAAAATACCTCACAACAACCCATATAATACAAATGATGTACTCATTATTACTCATCATAACTCATCTTGACTTGGGCATTAACTGTACCTGGAATCTTTTAACTTCAAACTTTTATGATAATTTTCCTAATTATGTAAAGATATTAATGAGTAATTATTGAAACCACCAGATTGTATATTACTTACTTCTTCTTCTACTTCACTTCTAAAATCTAATATTTTCAGTGAGATTAAGAATGTCAGTTTGAAAAGCTTTATTTTGTAAATGAATAACATTGTGTGAAAAAATTTAAATAGAAATTACATTATGATTAGTACACAGGACTTCATAAATGTTTAATTATATATAAAATTGTAATATATTCTCTTACATTACAGAAACGGCCGCCGGATAATTCGTTTTATGTTAAGACATGCAACAAAAACCCCAAAAAAACGAAATGGTGGTATCATGGTATGTAATATTTTAAATAAAATCAATGATCATTTTACTAAAAATATTTGTGTTTACCAAATGTAACTTATTATTTGAAGTATAGGAAAAATAATAACTTTTATTTACACATTTAACCATAGCTATCAGCATAACATTTTGTAACGGTTATAAAACTATGGCTGTTCTAGTTTTTGACATGGAAATCGTTTTAAATTACTGCATGTGGAGATAATGAATTCTATGATCAGTTTCTTTACATATATTTATATTATAAAAATAATATTTTTGAATATATAATTTTTTGAGGGTAGTACCCTAATAAGTAGGTGGCTAGGTAGTACGTAGTAGTAAATGAAGAGTTATTTTAAGTATTTTTAAAAAGAGTGTTTATCTGTCTTTTCAATTTAATTCTAGGCTGAAATTTTCTTTAATGTATAAAATATACTTTAAAAAAATATCTATATATATTCTCATTTCATACAAAATAATTTTCCCATGTTCACACTATTTGATATTAATCAATGTATGTACTTCCAGATGATTCAGTTTAACAGTGAAACGCGGCTTTATCGAGCGGACGATAAAATCCTAATGTGATAAGTGTTCTGAACTATAACATATGTATATAGTGCGGTGATAATATTTGTGAGTGTTGTGCTGTGCTTCACACTCGGCTACCGGGCCTGTGCTAAATCTGGTTAGTGCTACTCCACGGTAGATGGCGCTGGGATCACGCTATCAGACGGCAGGTGGCGCTGAATCGATTTACTATAATAAAACACGCTTTATATATCAGTTATAGGATATCTGTACTATTATCACAAGTCTTCATTTTGATATAATTAGTAGCGTTTCCAGATCATTTTAAAAGCTACATCAATGTTGACTTGTGATAGGTCTAACTGTATGAAAATATAATTTTAGCCTTATGTACGCCGTTAATACTAATGACTATTATGAAACATTTATTGTATTGAATATTAATATATAATAATTGGTATCTATGTTTGTCCGTTGGTAGCCCGGTGTGTACACTGTTGTATTCATTTGAAAATTATTTCTAAATGTGTTCCTCATACTTCAGCGTTGTATCACTATGTTTAATTTTTAATTTGTTTTGAATTTTTTTATATACTTTTAGTCTGTTTACAATGCTTTGCTTTATATAAAGGAATATGAGTTCAAGTGGCCTAATTTAATATCTATGAAATACTTTTAAAGCAAAATCTTTGACTTAAGGTCATTAAAATAAATTTAGACCACTTTAACTCTCATATGGATTTTGAAAAATAAACAACGCTAGCAATTGATGATAGTTAATAGTTATAGGATAACAAATTATATATAATCCAATACATTAGTTTCCCCCATTAAATTCTCTTGACACCTTATTTAACACTATTATTCTAAAATTGCAGTCACAATTCTTTCAAATAATTTGTACACCCTAAAAGTATGTTTACATTTGCTTAACAAAAAATCAATTTAAAACATGTATTAAATGGCTATTTAATGAGTTAACAGCATTTTAAGTACAAACATTCACATGTAAAATGTAAATGTACTATCAGATCTATTAGTAATATGTTAGAGGTGCATTTTGTTTGCCAAAACTACTAGCTTGGTCTACCAGGTGTGATATACTGTACCTTCTTATCATATATGCTATATTTTATATAAATATATGGAAATAAAAAATCGATTCAGTGTTTACATTAATTTATACCACATCTAGCAATAATATAGTCAATTAAAAATGTATCGCTGATGGAAATATACAATGCTTTTGAATTAAGGTACTTTATTATTTTATTAGAATAAAATTTTATTGAAAGGCTATCAAATGATTTGATTTATCACACAAAGTTCTATTTCACAGAGACTGAAGTCTATCCATTTACTTTATTAAAAATTAATTATATTAACAAAATTTTCGACCTTGTATGATAATAATATACATAATTTTAATTTTTAACAATAAATTGACTTAATTTGAATTACATAATTTTAGTACGATTGTCATTGGATAGTTACTCTTTTAATACATAAATATTCAATTTAAAAAGGTTTTCTATTCATAAAAATTACATATGTACATCAATAAATATATTCTTTAATTCCTAATCGATTTAAATATATTTCTATTAAAAAAACATCGATTCTCCCAACAAAAATATTGTACAATTTAATAAATAATTTGAAACAGTTCAATAGTTCGTTAAAGCTGTTATTTATGTAACCTTATTACTATCACTTTATAAATTATTATGAAAATGAGAAAATTAATTGTACAACAAAAAAAATATATATTTTAACTGAAAAAGATAATATTTTAAGTACCTAAGTATTATTTTTTATAAGATGTTAATCCTCATTGAATATACAAAAATCATTAGCTTTATGGAATAAAAATTGATATCTCATGTTCTAAATAAAATGTATGATTTAAAATGCATTAGCTGCACAACACAATCGAATAAATTAATGCTTTTCCTATAAACGTTCAAATCAATCGATATACCATTAGATCCAGTAAAATTATTCCCACAACGATAATTTAACTTATTAATCCGCCATATCCACTAAATAAATAGAACATAAAAATACCACAAATATTCGAGTTTTGTTATTATAAATAAATTATGCATCACAATGTGGAACCTAAAAAAATTATCAGGCGTTTTCTTTGGGTATTTTACTCAAATAATAATCGTGGTCATATCTCGATACTAGAATACCATCTGTAACTTTAGGTTCGCTGTCAGATGAATAATTAATATCTTCCCCTTTAAGGGTCGTCATTTTGCCATCAACAGCTTTTATGATGGCGTTTCCCGCGCAAAGATCCCATTTCTTAATGGCCGTAGCGTGTAGATAAACGTCGAAGTTACCATTCACCACGCCCATGACTTTGTCTCCCGCGCCGGCCGCTTGAATCACTGTGGTCTTTGGGCCGAACGATCTTTTAACTAAATCTTCAACTTTACCTGGATGTGAACGTGAGATAACAACCCTTGGATGTTCCTTGTTCTCAGCCATCTGTGAATTGTTATTCGTTATGAAAAAAAAAGCATGTACATGGTCGAATTGAGAAATCTCCTGTTTGAAGTCGGTTAAAAACGAAACAAATCACAATGTTATACATATAACATATGTACCAAAAACATTTTAAAAACTATTAATTTTAAAATACCTATTTAATAGAACAACCATACAATTTATAACATTTAACTTTTATTCTTATTTTGAAATACGTTTATGTCAAAAAGAAATAATTATAATATTTACTTTGAAAATAATTAAACAAGTTGTTAAAAAATATTATGATTTTTGACAATATTTAAAACAATGTGTCATTATTTTAAAAATTACCTCTAATCCCTTTTGCGTCAAATAATTAAACATTGAAATAAATTTGTTTCAACATTTTATTTTAAAGTCATTTACTAAAACCATTAATTAGCTACATCAAGTTCATGTATGAATATAATATTTAAAATGTCAATTTACGACTTATTAACATATTTCTTACATAAAAGAAGAAAAATACTCAAGTAATACCACAATTAGTAAACAAGAACAAATTAATAAATACATAATTTCAATTACTTCAGTGGAATAATAAACAGAGAAGATAATTTTGTGCTCAATTTAGGCTTAGAAGTATTTAAATATTTAGAAATTTTAATACATTGCCATTAGATGTTTGAGACTATATATACATATCACTCACATGTTACTATATATATTACTCACATGTTGTATATTAGCAATGTTACTGGATGTCTTCTTTGTGAACCAGCCCCAATAAGTTCGAGGAGGGAATGGGTAGTGTATAACACCCACTATTGGCACTCCATTGATGGCTACACACGCCATGGTCGTCACATACTCATATAGTCCCTCTGAAAATCATTATAAGAAAGGTTTTAAAATACAGTTAAATGTTCTATTTTAATGATAATGGTAGCAATTGTAACAACCAATAACTGTAATATATGTATATTAAAAAAAATCACTATACTCCCTGTAGGGAACACAATCTTGTTATAAGAGCCAAGACATTGTCTTGTAGCATTTAGGTTAGGGAGTAGGGTGTACATATGCAAGTATATTAAATAGATAATTGATGAAGTGCCTTCCAATAATTCTATATAAAAAATATATATCAAAAATATGTATAACAAAAGTGATTATAACATGTACTACAAATCTATATTTTATAATTTTTCAAGCAAAATTTACACTAGACACAATAAATGTAGGAACACAATATTTGAAATACACTAATATACCTGTATATTCTTTTGTTGCATCAAGGGGATCAATCCACATAGTAACTTGATTGGTTAATACATGTTCATCATTCAAGTGTTCTATAATCCTGTGATCAGCTATCACCGAGTCAACATCTATCTTTTCTTGCTTTTTACAACTCGGGTCATCACTTGAATGCTCTTCTGATATAATTTTTAAATTCGGAAATGTATTTTTAAGGCTATAGTACATGGCACAATGAGATGCATAGTCTGCATCAGTGACGGGGTCGTTTAAACCTTCTTTCGTCTTCCCCTTACTCTTAATATTTAAATCGTGATTCTTGCCATCTATTACTTTCTTACCACCTCGCTCGGCGGCATATATAGCGGCTTTAAGTAAAGATTTCAGATTAATTAGGTCATCTTTTTCAATGGGATATCCTGAACCACCAGAGCGCCAATAAATAATTAGAAATAAAATAAAACCTAGCGTAAAACAAGCAAATTTGTTAAATCTTAGAGTACCGCCGAAATTCATTATGTTTTAATTTTCTACGTTCCAGCTATAACTTATCAATTTTTAGATATTAATGTTTCAGTTTATTTGACAAAAATATTGATGTCGTAGACCTTAAGAAGTCGTAATTCACAACGTTTACAAATAAACGCACAAGGTACAAAGTATACAAGTAGAAGTTGACACATGACAATATTTGACAATTGATACCAATAAACCAAATTCATTAAATAGATTTTGCACTAAACACTTGAATATACCTGATTTATAGATATATGATAAATACAACTAAGCTTTGAATAGGAAACCAGTTTTAAATTTAGTAAATAACTATTACTCATAAAGACGCATTTTCTTTTAAAAAAATCAAATTTATTATTCTCCTATGTATCTAAATCTTCACAATGACATCACGTCATAAACACCGAAGTCAGAATTCAAATCATAATTGACACTTCGTAACTTGGTAGTTATTAATTAGTAGTTTATATCTGAGTCTCAGTTCGCTTTCGACTCGAGAGCTGTACTCTGTAGTTTTAGGATTTATGCGGTTTGAAGATTGCAACATAGACTTAATATTAAAAACTTGCCGGACTGTTTTTTAATAAATCATATCAAGAATTCTGTTCTGTTGTATCTTAGGAGGCAGTTATAATAATGATTTTAATGGACATATACGATACTGTAAGCTATCATGGAAATAAATTCGCAAGGTTAGTTTCCAATCAATGAACAATTAGTTGATAACATTCTTGATTTTAGGCGAGTTGGTGGACATTGGTGATTGCAGCCCAGGTGGTTATCGGCAGCGCGTACTTCTTGTGGACTAAAAAGAAGAGAGAACCGGAAGATAAATTAACTTATAAGAAGTTCAATGAATGGAAACCTTTGCCTCTGGTAGAATATGATCTCAAAGTAGATGAACCTCCTTTGATGGGTAAAATTGACGAAAATGTTCTCAATGTTGGTGCTACCAGTTTTCTGAATTTTGATAAGGAGCCTCAAATAATGGAAAGTGCTATTGCATCTCTCCATAAATATGGTGTAGGATCATGTGGGCCGAGAGGTTTTTATGGCACAATTGATGTGCATTTGGAACTTGAGGAAAGATTGGCAAAGTTTTTACAGGTCGAAGAGACTTGTGTGTATTCATATGGATTTTCCACTATGGCTAGTGCCATACCAGCCTATGCTAAGAAAGGGGACATCATATTTGCGTAAGTTAAAACATGCATAAATATTTTTATAATATACTTTACTATATTGTAAGAATATTATATTTAATATGTATATGTTATTTTTTATCATATTTATATGATCAAGTGAATCTGACATAGAGACAGGGAAAATCTTGGACAATTTTATGTGAATCATACTTATTATTTTCCTCAGTATGCAGGAAAATATGAGACGGGATTATCTATAGGGACAATATAATGCTGGGTTTTTGAAATATGTAATATTTTTTGTAATTGTTCCTTTAAAGTGATATTGTCTGGTAGTGAAAACATATTATCTTTTAAAATTCTGAGCCTTATCTTTCTATGACTAAACTCTTCATAATGATACTTAGAAATGAGTATATACATAAGTATAGACTGCATGTTGAATGAGAAGATTGTTACTGTTCTTAATATATTACAAATTTTACTTAAGACTGCAATAGCAAATGAATTCAAATTATCAAAAACCAACTATAGCCAACATAATATCTTTTCTTATACATATTTTATGCATAAGGTAATATTTATCAAAATCCAAAAAAAAACTTCATAAAATTCCAACCACATCAGTTGAAACAAATGCTAAATAATAAAAGAGCTAACAAACAAACATTGACCACTAAAGTTCTCATTAATTTAGCTATTTCGAAATATATGTTCCATAATTGAAAATCCAATGCCAAATATTTGTAATGCCATATGTCATTAAATAATGCCAGTGCGGCATTATACATGTATACTTGTGTGGGATATAAAGTAATCTGATCAAATTCAACGTATCGCGACGTTATACGATGTTTCTCATTAATATACTTGCATTATAAAAAGTTGAGTTGCACTAGTTGAAGCGTAAGATGTTATAATAATATAAAATGAAATTCTGTGAACAGGTTTTATAATATAAACTATAATATGTCGTGTAATTAAAAAAAAAGTGTGTCGAAAACCTTCCAGCGGGAAACTTCGTTAAGTCCAAATGTAAATAGGAAAGAGTGGACATTTATTTTGATTGAACTCATTTTGTTTGTTTAAGACAAACTTTATTAAACAAACAAAGTGAGCTTCAAATCACCACTAAATGTATTTTCTATTTATTATTTTCGAGTGGAAAAATATTCAGATCTATTATATTTATATGATATATCTGTATAAAGGTATATCTGTGTATGTTAGGTCTCTTGTTACAGACACATAAGAAATTTCACTTAAATAATCTGGATTTAAAACAATAAACAAGGCGACATTAATATCATTCTACTCATTTTTAGAGATGAAAAAGTCTGGTTCGCCATCCAAAAAGGCATAGAAGCTTCCCGTAGTAATGTTAAATATTTCAAACACAACGACATGAAGGATCTAGAAAGATTACTCGAAGAGGGTGTTCAGAAGAAGGAACTGCATCCAAAAAGACGCGCATTCATCATCGTTGAAGCTATATACTATAACTCCGGTAAAATGTGTCCTCTGAGGAAGGTTGTGGAGCTGGCGAGGAGATACAAACTAAGAATTATGTTGGACGAAAGTTTGAGTATCGGTGTAAGTAAATTATACAACAAAAATCATACAAGTCATAATTGATGGTCAATAAAACTGACCTAGATATTAGTTATTAATGTGTAAATTGAATTCATTACTACTATTTGCTATATAATTATCTAATAAGCAATTAAAAGTAAAGTATAATTATCAAATTTCAGGTGATAGGTAAGAACGGTCGTGGTCTGACTGAACACTTGAATGTTCCTCGTGATGAAGTGGATCTCATCATGGGCTCGCTGGAACACTCGTTCGCAACCATCGGCGGCTTCTGTGCTGGGACGCACTTCATTGTTGAACATCAAAGGCTATCAGGATTAGGTTAGTGTTATAACCAGTATGGAGACTTCAAACTTATTTTGCACCTTCGAGAAAATTCATTTAAATAAAAGTAATATATGTATTTGGATGTACTATAGAGTAGGGCATTTGCTGCAAATCACGACATGATCACGGTTGTACCAAAGTAACCGAAACGTCGCGAGTATATAGTTTAAACTTATGGAAAACGCAAGTTCATCCGAAAATATTACATTGATTTATACTGACTTAGGCTATAAGCCAAAGACGGATAAAGAAAATGTTGCAACCACAAAACCGCATCAATAGATAAACATATAATCCACATTAATATATATAAGTTATATAATACATACATATCCTTAATGTACTCAACTCGTATAATATATAAAGCGTAAGACAAAGCTCCCGCTTAGTTAAATTAATATTAAAGGAAACTAAATGAAAATATATACTGCAATTTGCTAAAGTCGCTAGTTTGATAAATGCAATATGTTACGAGATATATATTTTTCATATGAGGGAAAAGATTAATTTGATTTGAGGTGTCCATAACTACTATGTTGAAAAACTACTTTTTGTAAGGAAAACTGTAGGCAGTATAAAACATTTTTATTCTTTTACGTTCCTTCGTATTTAAATTACCACATCATCCAAATAAAAAAGGCAAAGAAGCTTTGACGTTAACGTTTTCTTAATAATATAGGGAAAAGCAAAGGCGACAAAATGGTGCCTTTAGGGACACTAAGATTTCAACCAAATTTGATATACTTTTAAACTTAATCCAACTATTGTATACATATGTAAATTTCCCTATAGGGTACTGTTTCAGCGCGTCCCTACCACCGATGCTAACACAGGCAGCCATCAGCGCTCTGGATATACTTGAGACCAAACCAGTCGTGATCAAGGAATTGGATGAAGTCTCCGTTAAATTAAACAAGTAAGTACTTAAGAATTATAATATTATGTTATAAGGTATGAACATCTTGAATGATTAAAATAAGAAACTTTAAATAATGTATTATAAATTCAAGCACACCTATAACTTGGAGATATTAGGTATTTGCAAGTATATATTTAATTGCAGTTTACACGATACAGTTTGTAGTTTACACGATACAGTTTGCAGTTTACACGATACAGTTTGCAGTTTGCTTAGTTAATTTTTAAGTTACCCAAACTTTTAAACTCGCTATATCTTTTGAATGGAGTATGCGATTAAAATAATTTAAACAGCAATATAAAGGTATTAAACTACTGTTAAAGAAAAAGTAAGTTATTTAGATAAGTATAAATACCATGGTATGAATATCGACATCTTATTTTCGTTGCCGATTTAAATAGTTTGTTAAACTATAAAAGTTTTTATACTGGCGTAACTATAATACTTAGATATACACTACCGCGGACTTTCTTGTAGATAATAATACGGTCAACAAAATCGTAGTACATTATTTTGCTCCATCATCAATAGTTATTGCAGCGCACGCGATTTAAGGTATTTCAATAGTGATTTTTTAGACCGTGGTTTATGTCATCGAAGTTTTCGCAAGGATCCTAAATTTTTTTCAAAATAAAATATAGCCTATGTTACTTTGGAAAGACGTACAATCATAATGGTGAAAGAATTTAAAAAATCGGTCCAGTAGTTTTTGAGCCTATTCGTAACAAACAAACAAACAAAAAAATATTACCTCTTTATAATATTAGTTTAGATGAAATCTTATTTATAAGATCTAATTCATGTTTTTATTGTCTAGTACTGGACACTTGTATCTTAAACATAGGGTTAAAATTTAAAATAACATGCTAAATAACTCCTAACAATACAATTTTATTATATGATAAAAGTATTTTATTTTATTTATTTATTTAAGCTTACACAATAATACATATATTGACAGTGAATTGTAAATACAATAAAAAGAATGTAGTACATACCTAAGTCTAATACATAGTTATAAACATGTTATTTTTTAAAGTTAACATTCTTATTTAACATATATTTTTTATTGCGATCACTATATACATATCATCTTAATCTTATATAAATAAACATTTGTGAGAGACTGGAGCCCGTGATGGGTATAGGAATACCTGTATTACAGGTATCATACAGAATAAAACTACATCATACATTCAGTTAATATATGCATATCAAACTTACCTTCCAGGGCCCTCGATAACTTGAAGCACTACACATATAGCGGGCATGAATTGTCACCAGTAAAACATGTTTATCTCAAAGATGATATTTCACACAACGATAAACAATCATACCTCAAGAAAATAACCAAGTACTGTATGGAGAAAGGCATAGCTATGACTACAGCCGCCTACCTCGTGGACCAAGAGGTGAAGTGTCCGGAACCTTCCATACGACTGGCCTCAAATAGAAAATTAACCAATGACAATATAAAGCAGATCTGCGAACTTTTGGATGAGGCATATGAAAAAGTTGGCCCTAAATAGTCCTAAATTACCATAGTAAAACGTTTTTATTTCTATTGTTATTCATTGTCTATGATCAGTGGCGGCTGTACCTTAAGTGCACTCGTGCGCTGAACCACCAAATCAAAAGTATTTAAAGTTACAAAATATTACTTTATCTTTATTTTTAAATAACCATTTTAATATTTATTTTCTAAACATACAAAAACGTATAAAAAATTAAATTTCTAATTATAGTCAAAAAATTTGAGCGTTTTACTAAACTAATATCTCGTGCGCTTCGGCGAGTGCACGAGGACGGCTAATACATCTTGTATGAGACACGAATTAATACGCTTCTCGCCGCCGCGCGACCGAAAATTACCGAGAGCACCAGATGTATGACGAATTGGAATTGAAAAGAATCAAAACTTTTCTCCGAAATACCATGCACTTGCTAAATGCAGTTTCTATGCTTAGTATTGAAAAAAATAATTATACAAACAATACCCGATTTTAATAAAAAGGTGAATATCTCGCTTCAGAAAAATGTCGTCGCATTGATTTAATGTATAAAAAATAATTAAATTTTATGTCAATTGGTTTTTTGTTGCATTTTTTAATTTTAAAATTTTAGTAAAGTGCACCACCAGTTCGTTAACCAACCACAATTTGAGAACCTCTGAGGTTTTATGTAGGGCACAAATTTAATATGTCATAAACAATGTTTTTATTTTTAATAATGGTAATTTTTTTGTTATTTTAATTATAATTTACCTTCTTTCTTATTATGTAAATTTCTAAGTTTATTTTAGTTTGCTTGAAATATTGAAAGATGCATTTAACTTTTAAGTATATTAGAAAAAAATGCTAGGTGAGCAATCACACCCCAGTGAAATCGTAGGTAGAAAATAATTTCTTACTTTAAAAAATTAAGTTTTGCCTTACATATAGTAATTGTAAATTAAGGTGTTTTTAAGTATATATTAATATATATATATATTTTGCACAAATAATTATCCCATACTTATTAAATAAAATATTTTTTTATGTTCTTTCTATTATATGTGGATGTTTTATTTCAATAGTTGCAATAAATTTTAAGCACAAAACTTGTATCACATTAATACAACGTGTTTACATTCCAAACTTACATTTTCTCATATGAATTACCTTTAATATACATATTTAAATAGATTTTTGTTGATCATAAAATATTAAAATGTATTAATAAATTGTTACAAATAAAACGAATTCTTTTTTATTATTTTTACTACAATTCCCAGTGCTATAAAAACATTAATATTTTTTACTATCATTATTCTTAGCATTGTCCTAATTAACTAAAAAGGTTGTCTATAATTATTTATGACATAAAGCTTCCATTTTTAAAAATTCAAACAATTAACATGACATGTGCAGGCTACTCTTTTCTAATTTTTTAATAATCTGCCAGCTTTGGAATCTAGCATTTTAATCAGTAACTAATTCATCTGACATGTGACAGTAGCCCACGTTTCGTTTGAAGTCAGTTTCGTTGTCCTTGTGTAACGGTTTTCTTATTTCTATCAACCGTCGATCTGTTTCCAGCGCTTGATTCTTATATTGAAGATCTTTAATAATTCGTTTGTAATGATTATGCATTCCGTGGTATATAGATCTATGAAAAAAATGGTTCCAAATTAGAGTTCTTACCTTCAATTTAGTTCCATTAATAAGATTTAATATATAATTAATTTGTGCAGACATATTATGAATTCCATTTAATGTTCTAAGTATATATTAATATAAGCGTACTTACAAAGAATCCTCCAATTTCTGTTCCAATAACTTAGAGCTGGTTTGGACTCTTTCTGTTTCTTCTATCAAACCTCTCATCGGTTTATCCTACGATAGTAAACAATTATTTTTTTATATTATCCAAAAGTCTAAAGTATATAAACTACATTAAAAACTATAAAGTACATAACGAAACTCTTTTAAATTTTAAGAATAATTTTGACATATCAACGAAATATTATTTTGACAAAACAAAATTCATTTATTACCTCGACTCGCTCCAGAACAGGTCGTCTAGTTCGTATTTCAAGTCTCGTGTGTACTAATTTTGTTGGATTTATTTTATCTGCGACAGCTGCTCTTAGCGACTCTATTTCGCGATCTAGTTTCTGAAGGTTTGTTTCCAACTGAAATAATAATTGATAGTCTTATAGTCAACTAGCTTTCCGCCCGCAGCTTCGCCGCGTGGAGTTCGGTTATATCGCGTTTCCAAGAGAACCTTTCAAAAGTCTGGGATAAAAACTATCCTATGTTCTTTCTCAAGGTCAACTCTATCTCTGTACCGAATTTCATTAAAATCAGTTCAGTGGTTTAGGCGTGAAAGCGTAGCAGACAGACAGACAGACAGAGTTACTTTCGCATTTATAATATTAGTAGGGATAATTATTATCAGTTATAATTTTGTTGAATAAGAATATGGATTTACAGAATCGGTATACAAAAATAAAATAACCTTCTCCATGTGAGAAGAGGCCTTTGCTCAGCCATGGCTCTGATAGACTGATGATGATGATACAAAAATAAACTTATTGGAGAGCTAAATCATTATCTATGTCCAAGCATCACCTTATATTTCTGCCATTCCATCTCGTTCCTCGCTCTCTGCACGTCATACACTCGTCTCCTCATGACGGACTCCACTCGTTGATTCTGGTCGTACATCTGATTGCGCGCCTGTTCGCAGGATTTAAACATCGTCTCACGTAAGGCCTTGGACTCCTTCATAAGCTGATTCGCTATTTGTATAGTGTTCTCTATGCAATGGACGTAACTCTCCTCTGTCATTGTACTGAAAATGTTTGTGATACTATTTTGGTTGAAGTTGATTTTGTTGGGATGGTCACTAAATAGGGTTTTTGCTGACAAATAGGACTAATTATTTTGATAGGATGGTTGTAAAAGTGTTTGTTATTCGAGAAATAATTGCTGACTACATTTTAATGAGATACAAGACATTCGCGAGTAAGTATTCATTTAATTGAAACTAATATTTTCGGATTACTAGACGTATTTTAAATAAACTTATTTTTTAAACTACATACTCCCGCCGTTTCGGTTATTTTGTAGCAACCGTGGTCACGTCCATCCGTGACTTGTAGTAATCCGAAAATATTAGTTTCATTTACACCTCATTTAGCTTATTACGCTATAAGAAATCCTTAAAAGCATTTAGTTACTAGAGGAACAATTTAGCAAGCAATATTCCAGTGTAGTATGAAGAGAAGTTTACTCCGGCGGTATCCTGGTGGGGTCCATCTTGTACGATATATCAGAACAGTCTCTGTTAAGATCCTTAACTTGGTACTCCAGTTCCAAAGCGTCATCCTTATTCTGAATCTCTCTCTCCAGTCTACAGAATACGTTGTTGAGGTCCCTTATCTTCTCCCAACCCATGTGGCAGACGTCTGTTAGAATACGCTTGTTGTTTTCGATAATGTGTAGTTCCTATAAAACATAAAACGAACTTGGAGTTTGATATTTTGTTTGTGTTCACTTAAATTTACAATTTGGATATTTTCACCGCAAAAGTAAGTAATAGGATTTTACTGCGATGGAACGTTTACTCGTCTAGGGAAGTCAAGCACTGTTTAATTAGAAATACCGATTTTTATCTATATATAAGAAAGTTCTGTTAGTTACACTATATTTATAACTTAAGAACGGCTGTTGGGACTTGGTTGAACAATGATGGAGACATAGCTTAGAACCAGGTGACGGACATAGGATATTTAATTCTGTTCGATCAAAAAGAAAAAAACTGACTAAATCCCAAATTTTCTTTATTTATGGCCTCTAGAGGGGAATAGAGTTGGCCCGGTCAGCTATACATATGTATATGTATTATACTAGCTTTCCGCCCGCAGCTTCGCCCGCGTGGGCCGTGGAGTTTGATTATATCGCGTTTCCAAGAGAACCTTCCAAAGTCCGGGATAAAAACTAGACTATGTTCTTTCTCAAAGTCAACTCTATCACTGTACCAAATCAGTTCAGTGGTTTAGGCGTGAAAGCGTAACAGAGAGACAGACAAAGTATATTATATATACCTTTCTTAATTCCTCCCCCAACTGATCCCTGGTTAGTTCAGAGGGAACTCTCATATCCCTGTTAGTGAGACACTGTGACACAACCATAAGCGGTATTTGCAGAGATTCTAAACACAATTCAGTGTTATTCTTTTCTTCTTTTAGTGCTCTCGTCTCATCTCTAACTTGCTCTTTTGTAAACCTCTGCTTTTCTCTCCACGACGACACTTCGAATATTCTAAAATTTACAATCAATATAAATACATATATGCAAATGATTTAATTTTAGTATACCTGCAAAAAATTTGAATTTTAGATCTCAATTTTTGTTGACTGCAACATATTGGTTAAATTATGTTTTTTTATTCCTTTACCTACTAAATGGACAAGTTGAGATCGATAGTTATATTTCCACAAAGTAGCTAATACTAAAGTATAACAAAAAAAATTAGATATATTTTTGAACTGTTGTTTTATATAGGAATAATTAATTATTCGTCAAATCTATACTTTATCATACCTATCTCTCATCAACTCATTGTTAACATAATTATCCCATCGCGTAGTGACAGAAGTTTCATTGCGGAGTTGATTAGCTCTCTGTCTAAGTTCATATGATTCAAACCGTCGACATCTCGCCTCATGTTGCAATCTTTGTATGTTTCTTGTCCAATCTAAAACAGTTAAAGACGGATGAGGCTTTTCAAAAACTGGAACAGACGAGTCCATGTTACAGAAATTGAAGACTTGTTCCTTGAGAACTGTTTAATCGATAACCATACAAAATAATCTAGTTTTATTTATTTCAATATACCTATATCTGAAGTAAACTTTATTTATTAGCAGAGTACTATTATTGTTTAGGAAATCGTTACTTATGTTTTTTTTAAATTGTAAATCCATACTCATCTTAGTACCATTAACTATTGAAATTATAAAGTCATTAAATAAAACATTTTCAAAGATGTTTCCGGAAATGTAATTAGGGTAAAATTAGCCAATTAAGAAGTAATAATTATTATAATTAAATATAATACATTATGTATCGTAATCATTATAACAACAGACAAAACTTATAATTCATGACACGTCAGTTGTCAAACGTCCAAAGCCAAAATAAAAGATTCATTAAGAAATATGGCGGCTATATAGCTTCGTAATTGTCTCGGTGTTTGGATTGAAATCTTCCTAAATATTTATCTTATGCGTATTAAAATTTTTAAAATATTAAATAAATATTTGTGTTAGTTATTATTCTTTTCGTGGTATTCTTCTTACGGCTTTTAAGATGTAGGTTAATGTTATCCTCTTAATTTTTGTTAGTTTTCAATAGTCTAAATTTTATTATATTTACCTAGGTATGACGATAGAAGAGGCGGCCGTGGCGGTGGACGTGGTGCCCCTCGCGGGCGTGGAGGTAGCCGTGGGTCTATGAGTTCGAGGGGTGGTAGATCAAGTGATAGATCACAAGAGAGAGGCAGTAGGTTTAGCGGCGGCGGCCGCGGGAGAGATGTGGGCCGCGGAGGACGAGGCATGGGAAGCCGAGGCGGAGGAGGGCGGAGTGACAACCGCGATGACTTCCGTGGTAAATTTAACAAGAACGACCAGCCCGGCGGCGCGTTACGGAAAATCCGCTGGGACAACGTTCAGCTGACGCCGTTCCAGAAAAACTTTTACGTACCCCACCCTAATGTCGAAATGCGTTCCCAGGCTGAAGTGGAAGCTTACCGTAGTCAACATCAGATTACGGTCAAGGGGAGGGATGTCCCTGCGCCCAGTATGTTTTTTGATGAAGGCGGCTTTCCTGATTATGCGATGAAGGAAATTCTCAAACAAGGCTTCCCTAATCCGACTCCAATTCAGGCTCAGGGATGGCCAATAGCTCTGTCCGGTCGGGACATGGTGGGAATTGCTCAAACAGGCTCAGGAAAAACCCTAGCATATATTCTGCCAGCTATTGTACACATTATAAATCAACCTCGGCTCCTGAGAGATGAAGGACCCATAGTCCTCGTTTTAGCTCCGACCAGAGAGCTGGCCCAGCAAATACAAACGGTAAATAGTATATCACAATCCATTTAACCCTTTTAGTTATAAGAAGCATTGCAACTAACTTAGACATGCATGAATTATGGAAGATTAAAAAACCATATAATTTATATTGTCTTGTGTGCTCATATCATTCAGAAACCTTTAATAAATTGATCATAACAAATTCAAATCCTAATTATTACTTTATATATATTGTAAGATTTAATCTAATTGAGAATGTGTTTTGTCCGTCACGCTACCAAGGCCCTTCTATCAATGAATGGGATAACGAGAGATGTCTCGGATGGAAATTCAAACAACATGGATATAGTAAACATTTTTAATATATTCAGTAGTGACACTAGATCGGCCAGGCTATGTTCGAAAACCTGCAAACATAACAAAACATTATTAAAATTATAATATTAAGGTTTCTGAACGTAACCTTCTAGTTATTTTATGAGCACATTTTGTGTTTTTATTATTTAGTTAATTTCTTAGCTTGTATTTAGCAAAACTATATTTATTGCATATACATATATACAGTAGACATTTTAAGAGGACTTCAAAAGACAAAGTATCTTAAGTTGATTTTGTTTCTATATTTTCTTATTGTAATCTTAAACTTCTATATTTATAAATCTTCACAAGTACTGCTTGCACTCACATTTCTTTTGTTATTTTGATTATCAAGTCAAAGATAAGTGTTTAATTTTAATTAAATGTCCAAGAAGATGTAAATTTATCAAAACATTTATCTTTGACCACATCTTATAAATCAATAATAGTTTTGATTAATTATATATATACAATTATACTTAAAACATTGGCCGTTGTTTCATAACTTGTAGCAATCTACTTATATGTTAATATTGTGTTACAGGTGGCAAATGAATTTGGCCAAAGTGTCCAAGTTCGTAATACATGTATATTTGGTGGAGCTCCGAAGGGTCCTCAAGGCCGCACACTTGAAAGAGGTGTCGAAATTGTCATTGCTACCCCGGGAAGACTTATAGACTTTCTTGAAAAGGGTAATAGGTTCATCTTTTCTTATATATAACTACTAATAATAGTAAGTAAAGTAATATTTAGTACAAATACTTGTATATGATCCCTGTAAAGAATATTTGTTTGAATTCTAGATACATAATAATGGCAATGTGTATAATTAATCAAGTTACAGTCACAGTTTATAAGTTTTAATACATATTAACAGCAATAATAAGACATTCCCTATCACACCTTATTTCAGAATTTTCTCAAAAACTAACAAGGACTTATCAAATCTTATGTTCTCTTGTGTAAATTGCTCAGTTCACTTTTTTTATTTATCTCTCTTTATCAAATAAAAAATTTATCTCATGTAGTAGAGCAAATATTATCATTAGTGTGTTATATAATTTTAGACACAACTAATCTCCGTCGCTGCACTTACTTGGTACTTGACGAGGCGGACAGGATGTTGGACATGGGTTTTGAACCACAGATCAGGAAGATCATTGAACAGATACGACCTGATAGACAGGTCGGTATAACATAAGATATACAAAGTATGTAGTTATAATATGGAAATTTATGGCATTGCCATAATGATAATTGCGTGACAGACGGTGAAGGAAAACATAGTTAGGAAACCTGGACTTAAAATTTCACAATTATAAGTTTGAAATCACCAACCCATCTTGAACAAGTGTGGTGATTAATGCTCAACCTTCTCCATGTGAGAAGAGGCTATGCTCAGCAGTGGGCTCTGATAGACTGATGATGATGATAATAATAATGATAATGTGAATTGTTAAACTAAGTTTAGTTTGGATAACACCAACAAACAAAACTTTGACCTTATGTAATATTTTATTTCACCAATACTTCAGGTCCTTATGTGGTCGGCAACATGGCCAAAGGAGGTTCAGAATTTGGCAGAGGAGTTCCTACATGATTACATACAAATCAACATTGGGTCTCTGTCACTGTCAGCCAACCACAACATCCTGCAAATAGTGGATGTGTGCGAGGAGTGGGAGAAAAATGACAAGCTGCTCACACTACTCACTGAAATATCATCCGAGGAGGAAACTAAGACCATCATATTTGCTGAGACCAAGAGAAAGGCAAGCTATCTTGATATATGAACCGTTTAAACTACTTTAAGAAGCCTAATTACTTATAGTCTAGTAATAAGCAAAAAGACCATAAAATAGTCTAACATTAAGATAGTATGTTTTGCTCGCTTTTATGTCAATGTCCGATACCTTGACCAACATAATGCATAATTGTATGACATTATACTTCAGATTGTTAAACCCTTTAGTGGATTAAAATTCCTCTATCTGCCATTTGAGACAGTTGGTGTTCCTCTCGGAAGTAAAGTGAGAAACTTATATTATATTTTCTGACAAGTCTATTTTCATTAACTGTATCTCTAATTAAGCAACATATTACATTTTCCATTGAACATCCAATGTGGTTTTTACATAGTCAAATGTTCTTGTTACTTAGCGCAATCTGAGATTTCTTTGCGTAATCCAAAACACTGTCACCTTGATTCTGCTGCCTCATTGGGGATTCTGCATAAGCCACCAAACGACAGGCAGATTGATAGATTGACAGCAACACAAAAATACATTTTTATCAATTATTTCTTTGATGTGCAAGCTGTATCTAAACCCTAATGGGTCTTCCACATCTTATTTCTTTGATAAAAAACTGATCATATACCGTTATATTCTTGAGCTTAGAATATAAGCAGATTAATTCCATTACTATAATAATGTTACTAAAGCGTTAATGTTCTACAGGTGGATGATATAACCAAGAGTATAAACCGTGCGGGCTGGCGCGCCCTCTCCATACACGGGGACAAGAACCAGCAGGACCGGGACTACGTACTGGCGCAGTTCCGCTCCTCTAGGACCGCCATACTGGTCGCTACGGACGTGGCGGCCAGGGGACTCGGTACTACACACACAGACACAGACACACACACACACACAGACACACACACACACACACACACACACACACACACACACACAGACACACACACACAGACAGAGGCACACATATATCATAACACACAGACATGCACACGAAACACACACACGCACGCATAGACACGGACACGAAACACACACACGCGTACAGACACGGATACGCACAGACACGAATACGCAACACACACACACACACACGCGCGCAGTCACATCACTATTAGATTTTATGTTCCACTCGTTCATAATATTTATGGATGAATGGCTTGAAATTATTAAACGAAAACTAATCGCGAGGACTTATTAAGTCTGTAACAACATAATTGAAACGATTTCCAAAAAATGTATATCCTTTGTCGCTGTACTTGCCCAGAAGTGGATGTATCTTTATTCTTATGTTTGTGCCACCTTTAAGTAAAGCAGGTGGTGCGTGCATGCTTGCATGCATTGTTTTAGTCCCGCCATAACGTTGAACGATTAAAAATAACTTGAAATATGCGCAAATAGAAACTATCGGCAACAAACATAGAATGACAAAAAAAATATAATAAAAAAGATATGAAGGAAATCTTTGCGAATATTTCACAAAGGCACCAAACAAAAGATTATAAAGAATATAAACGTCAGAAGCGTAGCTCAGGTCTTCGCCATTGCTAAGTGATTTGTACTGTTGGGCCTCACATACAACGCGTGTTACGACACAGAGACTTGTCATGGGTCCATGTTCATTAGGAGTTTACTGAGGCGCGTCTTGAGATCTAGTTGATGGCAAGTCTGTAATTATATTATGTGCGGTCCACGATCATTAAGTACCAATGAAGATAAAACATTTCTGTGGACACAAATACATTAAAAAATATGCCCGTAATATAAACATCTAGAGCATTCAAAGAATTTATGTTAAGGGTACAACTTATAGGACTTAATTGTAGTATTTGTTTGGTGAAAATGACTTTATTAAAGATACTTTAGTAGTTTTCCTGTAAAATATCTAATTGATAGGAATTTCCAGCGAGAAGAAGAAAAATGACTCAGGATGCGAAAAGAACAAGATTTGCTGATAAACTTTTGTTTAAAATCACAATACATTAATGTAGGAATCCACAGAAATAGTTAAACATTTTTCATTGGTGATAATTCTATAATTTTGCGTTCCAGTATTCACAATATGTAACATTATTATATTAATACACAAAACGACACAGAATATCATTAATATTGTATTTAAACTATAAATACTGTGAATATTGGAACTAACAAAACAGAAATGACACAGCAATGGCCCAAGTCCATTTAGAGATGTTCCAAGGCCACGGGAATGAGTGCTTTATGTATATCAACCATAAGGTACAAAATACCGGCCCTTTTGTAAAATTTCCATGACCTACTCAGCATTATTCTCAATGTTTTCATTTCAGAGGCGCATGCGTGCAGACAGGGCTAACTTAGCGGTGTGTTGCTGACTCCGATTATTGATTGACATTTAATGATATGACATCATGATACTATGATACAATTATCAGCGCACACTGTCGAGACGAGCATGCTGCCTCTAACGTATTATGGGGGTAGAGAGAGATCATAATATTTGAATCGAGTTTATTCTATGGGGACCAACGGCTGTCTATATAAAGCGTTCTAAAATGCAACGCAAAATAACTCGTTTGTATGAGACGGATATTCAAAGGGAAGATTCTTTAATGAATATATATAATAACTAAAATTTGGGTACAAAATAAACTTAAATGTAGAGCCATGCTATCCATTATCCATGACTTATATAGACAGTCCGAAACAAAGACTACATAGAGCAATATTTGCTTGGTTAGATGTCATGAGAGATTTGAACTAAACTAAGTGCTACGCCGCTGACGTTAGGAACAAGATACGGTCGCCTCGCACCTCGGACTGACGGGCATATACACGAGGTAAATATGTTGATTGGACGAGGGAGGGCGCTGGCTCTGGGTTGGAAATATTATGAAGTCTTTTGACCAGTATCTACTATTAAATGTCCGTACAATCCAAAGCCAAATCCCTCCCGAGATATCCGTCGCCCTCAAGGGTGGCGCGGCATCACGTCCTCTCATCAGCGACGCGGACACACACTAACACGAGCTCCATACAGACGTGGAAGACGTGAAGTTCGTCATCAATTACGACTATCCCAACAATTCGGAGGACTACGTACACCGCATCGGAAGGACAGGACGCTCGCATAACACGGGGACAGCTTACACGCTCTTCACACCTAACAATTCCGCTAAGGTAGGATTATCACATTTTTGTGACGATTTTGACCATAAAAGTGCTCTAATGTGGGTACTTATGTATTTTTCCAGGCTAAAGACCTGCTATCAGTCCTACAAGAAGCTAATCAAGTCGTCAATCCGAAGCTCTTAGAGTTGGCGCAGTGCGGGATGGGATTCAAGGGGAAATACGGTTAGTATATCAATATTAAATTACTTTCCTCATTTTGTTAGCCAGTATTGTTTCTGGTGGACAATTTATCCACCGGATTGTCACATAATGTGAATATTATACGCTATTTAGTATATAAAGATTTGTAAATGAATAATTATTATTTGTGATAATAACTCTACTAATGTCAATGTTTCAGGTCGCGGCAGGTTCCGTGAGCGTGACGACAGCGGAGGTCGCGGTAGGGGGGGACGAGGAGGAGGGAGGTACACGGGAGACAGAGGTAAGGACATATATTAGTGTTCCTTTTTAGTGGCTTCTCTAAACTATAATTACTATTTATTTATATCGTCGGGGATAGTGCAAATCAGTGGTGGCCTAGTTGTTAAAAGGCCCGCCTCTCATGCATGAGGCCGCGGGTTCGATCCTGGCAAGTACCAATGTGATTTTTCCGAGTCATACGTACTTTCTAAGATTGTTTAGACATCACTAATTAATGCTTTCCCAAAAGAGGGTTGGAAGCAGCATAACAAATTAAACACTAAATAATTATTAATTGTGAAAAAAATACCTTAAAAGACGTTTGTACAGAATATTTCCGCTCAAATTTTAAATAATTCGACGATATATATAGCCTATGTCCGAAGATATAATATTGAAGTCACATTTTGGAAGACAGAATTTTTTTCATAAATATGTATTAAAATAGTGTTTTTTTTAATTTTCTCAGGAGGTTCGAGATGGGACAGTAGTAATGGTCAAGGTTCTGGATACAACCAAAGTTCTAGTTCAGGTTACAGTCGAGACGGTTATAACAACCGGCAGAGTTTTGGAAGCAGCCGAGAAAACAGCTTCAGTAGAGATCGGGAAGGGTTCAGAGGTAGAGGGCGCGGGAGAGGGTTCAGCGGCGGATACGGAAACAATCAGGGGCAGGGGTACTCCGCCCCTAACAGTTACTACAACATGTACTCACAGCCACCACCCTCACATTAAAAAATATACCTTATCTAATATATGAGTTACAAACGATATACTATCATATCTAAGATTTTCTCGAGTTTTAATCATTTAAATGGAACTTTTATTTTACGGATTATACTACGCGACTTTATTGTCAAAAATTATATTCTCCCGAAACGTCGGGACTATCCGAAATATGATAGTTTCATTTAAACCAATATACAGTTACAGTAGAGTATCTGAAGTCTATTTCGTTCTGAAAAGAGACGCAATATTATAACATATTAAATATTTCGTTTTAATACAGAAGCTATTGACGTGTGTATATACTTTATAAAGTTTAAAGTTGAATAACTATAGTTTAGCATTTAGTGGAAATTATATTAATTAAGTCGCACATGTACCGAAGTGAACAATAGTGGTTATGAAAAATATTGTGAAACAATAATGTTACTAGGACATCACTTATTGAATTGTTTAAATTTTAAACATTCCTGTACAATTACATTTCTGTTTTACTAGGGATTCACTTAATAAATATATTGAAAGGGTTCCGTTTGTTATTTTTATCACCTACTGACTTTTATCACAGCTTATAAGGTTTAAAGAATTTATTCTCAAAAAGACAGTCACTTACATGAGAACATACATACAAAAGTGAAAATACAAAAGTAGTCGCCAGATTATTTGGAACTCAAAGATAGTAAGATATTATTACAAGTGTGTAACATCGTTGGTATATCAATTATTTTTTGAAATATGTTGTGAAAGTTGAGATTTAAATTCGTTAATTGAGCTTGCATTTCTTATAGTAGACAGTAATTTGTTGTAAAGTTGTGCTCCCTCAGATGTAATATCCTTTTTTGCAAATTTTGTCCTAGTCTTTGGGAGAACTAGTAAGCTAGGTCGACGGGTGCTACGCGTACTGACTTGTTTCATAAATGACAATTTAGAGTTTATAATAACATTAAATAATCATTTGACCTGCAACTTCAAACAATTCTTATTATTTATTAACTATGTGAATAGGTTTCATGCCTTTTACCTTATTGTGTTAGCAGATAATATAAAAACTTTAAGGGGAATAACATAATATAAATAAAATATCCCTTGTTTGTAAACAGTTATTTATTCCTACATTATAAATACAGATTAAACCACTGAGTGTTTCACAAACAAAAATCTATGTATTTGTATTGAATGTATCGCCATGATTTGTTCAGTGGCCGCTCTGCGCTGGTTTCTCGGGGTCGACATAGTCGGGTTGTTCCTCGGGTGTGTGTGGCCAGAAGGTCGGCTTGTTGATGGGGTCGAGTGCCAGTTCAGGGTGGGCATCCTTGAAGTCTTCTAGAGTCATCTGGTTGTATGGCAACAGGGCATTGAGCTCATCCATTTGCTGTTGGTATCTGAGAATTTTTAAAATATTATTAAGCATAATTGCAATGTATTTATACATATATGGTATGGCATTATTATGTGACAATATACAGTGGAAGCCGTGAATGTCTTGTCTCAGTAAATATAATTAAGATCACTGAAATAACTGTTTTTTTAAATTAACTGCATTTTGATACATTTATTTAAATTGAGAAATACTTTGTCAAAAAATAAAATATTTTGAAGTAATGTGACAGTAAAAGTGATATATTTCTAATTAATACTAGATTAAATGCACATAAACTATACCCAAATGTCAATGAAACAGTTTCTTTTCAATTAAGGAATGAAAGCAATTTTTTCATTTTATTCTACCATAAAATATTTTATATCAAGTATATTTTAAATCACCAACTTCTAGATGTGGTTTAGTTTTAACAAGCTTTTTCATATTTAAATACAGTCAGAGTATAATATACAAGAGAAGTATTACTAAGAGAAAATAGATAGATCTTCAAATGTAAGTAAGCACAATATATATGCAATTATATAATGAAATTCATACTTAGCAATGTTTTTGTTTGATTCCTGTACAAATGCTTCGATGGCCTTCTTAATTTCTCCCCACTGAGCGTCAACCTTAGCACTCATGGTGTCCGTGGGATATGGGACCTTGAGGGCTTCATACTGTTTTTGAAAGTTGTCCACCATGCCGGGAATGGGAACAACCTGCTTGTAAGCTGCCCAGTTGATCTTTGGTGGCTCTGGAGGGCTAGCCAATACCCTACAAAACGTTGAATATACATATTAAAGTTGTATATTGTTATTTCATTTATAATAAACGAAGAGAATTTATTTGTGGCCCATTTATAAATTCTTTCTTTTTCTTCAACTCCTTAAGCTTAGAAATATCTTTATTGATGGGTTATTAATGAATAAAATGAGGTAAACCGGTATAATCATTCAAGAAATAAAAAATCAATGATAAAATTATGTAACAGTAACATGAACGTCAAAACTAACCTGCGGAGGTAGCCATCAGACTTAACTTTAAAAGCAGCTAAGTTGGACTTTTGTTCTGCGGGGACCCTCTCGGCTAGGGCGGCCCAGTTGATAGAGCTCTGGCTTATACGTTTAGCCATATTTGTAGCTAAATTTTTCTATAAATCGCGGACCTCTCGACTGACAACTATAAGTAACCAAAGACAAATTAGATCACAAATCTGTCAATGATTACGCAGTCACTGTCAAAAAATGTTGCCAGATCCATACTTTGTTGATAAGTATAGACAATATTTAAAAAGATAATACTTTTTAATATGTAAATAGTAATGACTAGTATTACAAAGACAGGTTTTTAATTCCCTCTCTTTATTTTAAAAAACCTCATCAAAGTCGAGTATGTTGAAAACATTTTGCAATATAAAGAAGTCTTACAATGAAATCCACGCTGATTATGTGGTCGACAACGTTGTTTGCATAGAAGAGTGTGATGGAAATAATTTTTACAATGATAAGAGAGGAAAGAAGACCTTGGGACATTACCCATTGTAATAAACGGCACCGTAGGAAAGTGTCTTAAAGGTATTAAGTTAAACAAAATTAAATCTTTCAGATTCATATTTTTTTTTAAAGTTCTCCTTGTATTAATACATTTCGTCTCAGTTCGACTAATAAATCGGTTGATAAGTTCTGTTGAAGATCGTGCCAGACACAACCAAAGTCCAAAAATACAAAGTGGTTTTGGAACGAAAAGCCAGTTATATTTTTTAAATATACATTGTATCGATTAGAAGTATTTTTATTTATCCTGATTTCTGTCCTAAGAATAACTAGAATGTAAATATTTGGAACTTTAATTTACTTTTTTAGTTAAGTATCTTCAGGGAGAAGGTTATTATTCTTGTCTCCCATGGTGATTTATATTTGTAAAAAAAGACAATATAGAAATATTAGTCAACAGTAAATAATATAAATAAATGTTATTCCCATACTTATTAAACGGTCACGAGGTTTAAAAGCTTTTAAATATGTCTTACAAAATATATATTGTTCTCTACAGATGTGGAAATAAATTTCAAATATTATATTTCAAATATTGTTTTTATATTATTTAATAATATTCACAAAATGAACAATTAAAATAAAGTATTGAAAGTAAAAATACCACCATTTTATACATAAATATGTTTATTTATCCTTTGGTATTTTTTATTCTAAATAAGTATTACAAATTACAAAAATCAAAACTAAATTAAATTTAAGCTCTAGTATGAATTACAAAACAAACATTATTAATATTAAATATTATCAGAACTGCGTTTAATTATATTCTAATTGACTTTCTAGAATCAGTCTTGGGAATAATATTAGTTTTGAGGCAACTCTGTAATGTTCACGTCAATTACATAACGTGTTTCTGAACGGAATGTTTTCTTGAGAACTCTTGTGTCTTAATGGCTATAATTGTCAATCAGTTGTAAATAATTTTCTATAAATCTTGGAATTAAATCAAAAATATCGTAATTTTCAATCAATGTATATCATGTAATCTTCTACGAGCAAAAATTAGTCATTATGTTTACAAAATTAATCACTTCTCATTGGTTCAAATTGGTTCTATTTATTACTTTAGGAATTAGTGTAAAAATAAATTAGTTTTATTGTAATTTACGAAAAATGCTCTGAATATATTTCTTGTAGAACAAAAGCGGACAATATCGTATTCATTCTACTCAGCCTGCTCTACACAATATTACTGTGAATATTACAATCTGTGTTACCATTTAAATAAATTACTTTGGTATCGTATAAGTACTTATTATATTATATACAACGTATATTTACACATATCTTGCTTTAAATATTATCTATATTATAAAGTTACATCCGTACGTGTGGTCCCAATCTTCTCAGTCAGTTTATAATTTCGTTGGTTTATCTTTAATCGTAGTTCTTTTATCGACGTAGTGTGGTGAGTTAGAGGAATGTCCGACGGTGCGGCTGCCCCAGGTTGTTCTGCGAGCTACGGGATTGTTCTTACAGAATCTGAGCAGATTTCCGTACGCTGCTCTATATTGTCTATTGGTAGCTGCGTATATTAATGGATTGATGACGCTGGACGCCCAAGCGAGGATGGAGGCGATTATATGCAGCCAGGGATAACGAATCCCGTCATCGGACACGTTCATTATCATGAGTGGAAGGAAACACGCGAGGAAACACAGGAATATAGTTAACATGAGCGTCGTTAAACGAGAGTCCTCCTCCTTCTCTCTGGCTGTCTGTCCGCTTAGCTTGCTGGAACAGAAAATATATATACAACTGAAGAATGTTTGAACAATTAAGATACAAACAGTGCTGTGATTTTAATTATTTGTCCATAGATTTTATATGTTTGTAAAAAAACTTTAAAGTTTAAAACTTTATTACTAATTTTAACTTATTAATTCAGGATTTTCGTGACAAAATTTAATACGACTAATCAATTATGAAATCTATATATGTGCTTTATAGTGAATAACTTTAAAAATTAAACTGATATTTTAACTAAATTAAGTATATTTTAGAGTTTTAATTCTGAAATTTAATACGACTTATCAATTAGCAAATCTATATATGGTCTTTACGAAATAGGAATTAAAAAGCGTTGCTACGGACAAATGTGGGTAGTTCTACAACAGTGATCATAGACAACACAGATGAAGCCTCACCCACATACACACCTGCGTCCCTCGAGCTTTCTCTTGCTCTCTCTGACCCGCCAGTAGATGCAGCTGTAAGACACGATGATCACCACACAAGGGAGGGCGAACCCGAACACGAACAGGTACTTCTTGGGGCTCCGCTCGTCCTTGGGGAGGATCGTGCACGAGAATGTATTGGGGTCTAAACCCAACTGACCCCAGATACCAAGTAATGGGGGCACCTGATTAACAGAAGAAGCTAATTATTTTAGGATACACCACGTGACTTTATAGCTACTAGCTTCTTTTCAAATTTGGTTAGGTAGAAAAAGGGTCTTGGACAGTGGAGGTGAGCGTTTAACGCGCATTAGATAGAGGCCCCTTTAATGTTTAAACCTACACCTGGGTTGCAAGTCCCAGGCACTGTTGAAGCTCCTCTCACTACAACGATGGACCCGCACGGTGAATCCATGGAACGCTGAGAGGTTTCGTCTCGTCGTGTAAAACTACATACTCCCAACGTTTTGGCTATTTTTCGTGATCATGGGTGGACAAAATGTGTATTGATGTGATTAACAAAAATAAAGTCGCGTAGTATATTCGAAAAATATTAGTTTCAATAAAATAAATAAAACTCGCGAAAATCTTATATCTCATTAATATAAATTAAATTAATAGTAATGCTTAACTTATATTTTAATTCATAGTCAAGTCAAGTATCTTTCACTGCAACTTTGATGTATTAATTTTGTATAGTAATTAAGTAATTCAGTATATAAAATTTATCAATCAAATCTAAAACCCTACTCATCACATGTGCCCATACATTTATAATCGGTTATAGTTCATCGACTTCGTTTCGAGTGTTCGTTTCGTTCCGCGTCTAATTCATATGGATCATAAACTTAACTGATGACGTCACCTCACTACTGACAGCGTCGCTTACATAATGACACTAGTCATGATGACAATTGTTTGTAATTGTCAAGTCAGATATTAACGACGGAAATGTTGTTGAACTAATAGGACGCATATAAAATGATTAGAGTGAGTTTAAAGTCTCGATGAATGATTATGAGTAACTGTGTACGTGTGTATGGGTTTAAAGAAGTTTAATAGAAGGGAGCAGAACACTTTGAAATTGTATAATATGTGACGTCTCGAAAATCAAAATGAAGCAGAACTATGAAAATATAAGATTAAGTTTTTTTTTTTTTTTTTTTTTTTTTTTGTTTTCCCAGGGGAAATCTGTTCACAGATACCCGGCCGAGCGGGGACTTGACCGGGTTATGTGGGGTTTCGACCCACTAAAACCCCTGGGTGTTCCTCATCCACGCCACCTAGGCAGGGCCACGGTATACCAAAAGCTTGCCTCGCGACCCTGCCGGCGCTTGTCCACTCCGGACCTCGAACTAAGGGGGACAAATCCCCCCACAAACCACCACCGCGAGCCGCCCCCGGAACAAGAGGGGCTAGCACCGCACTGATCCTGCCAGCGGGCGACAGAAGTCCCCGTCTGCCACCCAGGATCACGTCGCCCGGCGCTTAACCTATGGCTGTAAAGAGGCCAGATAGGCTCGGCGCCGGCGACCAATTCGCCGACGACGGAGGGCAGGGGCCTCCAGGTTGCTCTCCCTGGCCCGCTCCGCTGCCTCCTTCGCGCTGATGACCGCTTCGGCGAAAGCGGCCACCGCCTCCCATGCCTTCTCGCTGCCGACCATAGCCGAGATTATAGCCGGCAACGAGAGGTCCCTCCCTATGACCGTAGTCAAAGCAGCGCGAAGACTGTCCCACGCTGGGCATGACTCGCGAGTATGCTGCGCCGAGTCCTCCACGCCACCCCCGCAGTGATGGCAGGCGGGGCTTTCTTCCCTGCCCACCACCCGCCACAGATACCTGCCGAAACATCCGTGTCCCGACAGCAGCTGTGACAGGCGGTAGGTCAGTGGGCCAAACGTGCGACCCACCCACTCGCAAAGAACAGGCCTGACAGCGGTGGCCAGTTCATAACTGGCCGTCGGAGAAGCCAGTCGCTCACCCCATCTACGCAGGACGTTGGCCGCCGCATCCCTTCTCCATTCGGCGACCGTCCCGGACGCAACTCCTCCGTCACGGCTGCGAGCCTCCGCGCGCCGGTGATAGACAGCCGACAACGCATCGGCCTCCAGGTACCACGGTGGCGTGCTGGCCAGCACGCAGGCCCCCTCAAAAGATACTGTGCGGTACGCCCGTGCCACCCGTCGCGCCAAGATACGCTGCGGACGGCGGAGGTAGGCTGTCGTTCGTGGGCCGAGAGACCGGGCCCATACAGGCGCACCGTACAGTGCCATTGATCTAACGACCCCAGTGTAGAGTCTACGACATGCCACACTGGGACCACCGACGTTCGGAAGCAGACGCCCCAACGCGCCAGCCGCCGCGACTAATTTGGGTTCCAGTCGCCGGAAATGCTCGCCGAACGTCCATCGACTGTCGAGGACCAGCCCTAGGTACTTCAACCAGGGCTGAACAGCGATAACCGTTCCTCCGACCACAATACTCGCTCCCCTCGGCGGTCCCCTCCGCGGACCGTGGAAGGAGATGGCCTCGCACTTGTCGAGAGCCACCTCCAATCCCAGAGCACGAATCCGTCGTACGACTAGAGCCACACCCGCTGTTGCGACGATTGACGCCTCTCGGTAGGAGGAACCGTAAGCCGTGACCAGGGTGTCGTCTGCGTAACAAGTCACGCAGACACCGGGAACATTAGCTCCCCGTAACACCCAGTCGTAGCCGATGTTCCACAAGAGGGGGCCTAGGACAGACCCCTGTGGAACACCACACGACATCGTCTTATAGACCCAACGGCCCCCCTGCGTGGGGTATACTATTTTGCGGCCCACAAAATAGTCCGCCACCATTACCTGCAGGTAATCGGGCACCCCGTGCCACCTCAGGCCTGCAAGTATTGTCTCCCAAGGAAGGGTGTTGAAGGCGTTGGAGATGTCTAGCGATACCGCTAGCAACACCCCACCCTGAGACACAGCCTCCTCAGCGAGCGACCTCACACGCAGGATTGCGTCCACCGTCGACCGGCCCTCTCTGAAGCCGAACTGGGTCTCGTGCAGACTTCTGCTCATCGACTGGACGAGACGAGCCGCGAGCACTCGCTCAAAGAGCTTACCCGCCTCGTCCAGGAGCACAATCGGCCGATATGCCGACGGCAGGCCCTCGTCCCGGCCTGGTTTCCGTAGTAGGACCAGTTTCCCCACCTTCCAACAAGCCGGAAACCGGCCTCGGTCCAGGCACATAGAGAACACCTCCCGCATCCATGCCTCCATTGCCTCGGACGCTATGTTCACCACCCGACCGGGAACTCCGTCCAAGCCCGGGGTGGTCCTCTTGCCCCGCAGCTTTGCACGCGCACGACACAGTTCCTCCTCGGACACCGCCGGACTACTGGACTCGTTTGGCGAGTTATCAGCCATAGCTGGAGGCGTCCAAGGCTCCCTTCGAGGAAACAACGCCTCCACCACCTCCTCCACGAACTGTGGCTGAAGAGTGGTCGTGATCGGCTGGGTCCAAGGCCTGGATTTGGCCCTGATGACCTTATACGGCCGCCCCCACGGATCCCGATCCAGTGACTCTAGCCACTCGTTCCAGGCCGCCTCCTTGGCAGCGCTGATCCCCATCTGCAGAGCCTTGCGTGCAGCCCGGTACTCCTCGTATAGGACGTCCTCTCTCTGAACGTCCCGTACACTCCTACGCCTGGCGCGGGCATGGCGACGGCGGGCGGTGACACACGCTCGACGCAAATCGCGGAGTTCGTCTCGCCACCAGTACACCCGGTGCCGTGGGGTGACGGGACGCGCTTTCGGCATCGAGGCTTCGCATATACGGACCAGCGCACCGCAGAACACGTCAACTTCGTGATCCAGGTTGTCGGACGATAACCCCCTGGACCACTCTTCCACGATGGCCACTTCTTTGGCCAAGGAAATGTCCAGTTTTCCCAGCACCCATTTTCTTCCATCTCCAGTAGGGGAAGCTCCGACTTGTGACGTAGAAGACGTGGCCACCCTGAAACGGATATAGCGGTGATCCGACAGGGTTTCCGCGTCAACCACCACTGCCCAATCTGCAATACGGCGCGCCAGGGGGGCAGAGGCGAATGTGACGTCAACCACCGACCCCCCATTGTGACGAACACACGTCAACTCGCTTCCCCTGTTGAGGACCTCCAAACCGAGGCTTATAGCCCACTCCTCCAGTAAATTTCCCCGCGCGTTCGTCACCGCAGATCCCCACGCTCGAGATTTGGCGTTGAAATCCCCGGCGACTAGCACGGGGCAAGGGTGCACTCTGTTGACTAGAGCTCCCACCTCAACGAGGACTTGCTGAAAAGCAGTAAAGCCCTCGTTAGGGGAGCAATACACCCCCACTACTGCAGTGCCACCCACGCTAACCATTACGTAACCTCGGCCCCTGGCTGTAAATATCAGAGGAGGGGCTCCGTTGACCCGCGAGGCGACGATGGCCACTAGACCCTCCGTATTCCCAACCCAGTCGTCCCGGGGCGGCACGACGTATGGCTCAGCGACCACTGCGATCTGTGTTTGCCACTCCGCCATGGTCTGGACAAAGAGATCCTGGGCCCTGGCGCAGTGGTTTACGTTCGCTTGAAGCATTTCTATATCCATGGATTAGGACGTATCCATGTCTCCTCTGTTGGAGGGCTTAGGGAGCCTTGCCCCCCCACTCCCCTTTTTCGCTGACTGGGCTTTTAGGCAGCACCCTTCGCCTCCGGCCACGTGTGTGGCTGGTTTTTCTAGCGCGATACACGCCGCACAGTTTGGATCGTTTTTGCAATCCCGTGCGAAATGACCCGACTGACCGCAGCGATAGCAGTGGCCCCGGGGAACTCCCTGAGCGACCTTGCACATGGCCGCTAAATGTCCGGTTGCCAGGCACCGGAAACATTTCCGAGCCACCGGTGCCATTGCTGAGATGCGAGCGGAACTCCATCCGACGAAGATCCGGCCCGCGTCAACCACTTTTTTGGCGGCTGCCGCTGGGACTCCCAGCAGGATAGCGCCCGACGCTGAGAGGGAACCTGCAGCGATAAGCTCGGCGGGGCAGCCGCCCACCTGAGCAACCGTTGCCACTACCTCAGCCTGAGTAACGGACTCGTCCAGGCCAGCGACACGGATTGAGGTGCGCATCACAGGGCGGTGGATCTTCACTGCCTCGGGATTCACTACCTCCCTGAGCTTTTCAGCGAAGAGGTCTGCCTTCGCAGCAGAGTCCTCCCCACCAATCTCAAATATCCGAGCCCCGGTCTGCGCTTTCCTCCATTTTTAAGGGCCCAAGGCCCAGCGCCTGGACATCTACGCGTTGGCGCGCCTCCCTCAGCACCGCCTCATAGGAGGCGTTTTCTCCTGCTTCCGGGAGGATGGTGATTGCGACCGCCGCAGTCTTCGGCGGTCTGATCTTCACCGTCTTCTTCTTGGGGGGTGGTGGCGCCGTATTTGGTTTTGGGGCGATCTTCTTTCTAACCACCTGGCTCCAAGACGGAACTTTGTTCTTCTCCGGGGCTCCTATTGACGGAGACGCGTCTACGGGCTTGAGCGATGACCCCAGCGCAGCCTCGGTTGCGGCCATAGATACCTTCTTGCGACCCTTCTTTGAATGGCCCTTTGCCCCCGCTACAGCTGGCAGTGCTGGAGCCAGAGGTCCAGGAACCGTCGAGGTTGTGGCCGTCACCGCCGTCCTTCTTCCTTCACTGGCTAGCGGAGGCCTGAGCCGGAGCTCTGGCACATTCGCACGGCCCAATGCTTCCACAACCTTACGGACAACTCTGTCTTCATCGAACTCCTGAGTAGAAGCTTTAACGCTTTGAACAAGTTGGGCAATCGTTGCGTCCATCTCCTCCAGACGCTTGCGTAGCTCAGCGTTCTCTTCTCGCAAGAGCTTGATCTCCTCATCCCGCTTTCCGCTTCCTCGCGTGGAGCAGGCCACTGCTTGGAGTCTCGCCTCTTTCTCTTGGGCCCTGGCCAGCTCTACTTTGGCACGGTGTAAGCCAACGTATTGGCCAGTAGAAGGAGGCCTTCCCCGCCCTCTTTTTGATTTGTGCGCCGCTCCTTTGATTGGAGCGACGCTCGCCTCAGTGGCCGTCTCTTCCGCCGTCTCGGGAGAGTTGAGCGCACTCCCGGCGGACCTTTTCCTCCACAGCCGACTGTCCGAAAGTGACTCCGCTGTCCGCACGCTACAGTCAGACATTTCCGAATCCGACAACCTCGGCACACGTACTCGGTAATCCTTTATTCCATAGCCTTTGTCCAACATGGAGCCACCCACAATCTTTGCGGGTGAAGCCCCATCACTGTCCATCTCAGTCACCACATCAACTCCGCCCGTCACAGACATCAAAGTCTAAAGTCAGTTGACCTTGGGCATATAACACAAACACAGAGCGTTTTTAAAACACGACACGACAGATAACCTTGAATGTTACGAACATTAGTCACGGACGCGACGCGATCGAACGACACGTCCGCCTTCGACGGCTGACGCGCAGCGACTCAAGATTAAGTTTACTCTGCACTGCAAAATATTGTGTATTTAGTTTTAATAAATGTATTTTAATATCATAAGATCATCTAACAATACATAAAATTTTGATAGAATTTATTATTGCATGAATATATTTTTAATGAATAATTTAGGAAAAATTATCATCTCAATGCTATATTTATGTATTATAGTAATAATTGTATTTTCCTATTAACATATGTCGATCAATTAATTTAATAACTATTTTATGTGTCGTCATAAAGTATTTGGACTTAATATAAATGAAAACGTCATTAAAGCTAATTCCATTGTGTGTTTTAGTGCGCGGATGTTCCTTAATTCGTTACAATTACCGCGTCAAAGCTTCACTGTGTAACTTCCTCTATCATTATCTATGGTGTATATTTGGGAGATTACGACAACATTTAATGATAAAGAATTATTATAAATTCTTAAGCAAAATTATTATATAAAAATATCAACAGATTGGCACAGTTAAAACCTTTTTTTTTGAGATCTAAGATTTCCGCGGGTATTTATTTAAATGAAACTAATATTTTTCGGATGTACTACGTTATTTTATTTTGATAAAAGACTACATACTCCCGACGTTTTGGCTACTTTACAGAAACTTTGATCACGGACATACGAGATTTGAATGTCTGTCAGTTGGTCTTATTTTTATTTGTTTGTCAGTAACTCACCATAAGACCGAAGGAAACCAGCCATATCATGAGCAGTTGGACCCAGATCTTCGTCGTCGTATAGATCTGGGAATACATGTCGTAGTACGCTATCAGAGTGTACCTGAAATAAATACGAATATATATGTACTATGAAATTATTTCGTAATTTTTCTTTTAGTTTCGTCTTGACTGTAGCTGTTAGCAATAATGGCTTTGACAGCGTCATAGGAAGGGGGTAAAATGATTAAGTTAAAAATATGTTAAAAAAACATTTTATTCAATAAATAGTACTATTATGTTAAAAAAACATTTTATTCAATAAATAGTATCTTTGTTCCAGAATACATATATTGTTTAATTAGAGATGCTTCGTTGGATGTTTCGTCAACTTAGTTATGGTTTTTGAAATGGTTTAGTAAGAATTTTGTTTTATGCTTAGTATAATGTAATAGAAAAATCTAGTAACATATTTATACATAATATTATATACTGACTTATTTATAGATTTAATAAAAATAATTCAGTGTTAGATAGTAATTATTATACTCTTAACTATAGAGGTATTGTTATATAAATAATATATCATTTTAAATCCATTTAGCTCCTATATATTGTATTATAAGTTTTCAACATCAGTCAAGGTATCATACAAGTATTATATAAATCAACGCGTCGGTTATTTCATTTAAAAATCACTTATCCTCGTGAGAATATACTGTTTGCTTTCAGATAAGATTAGTTGTGTTTGTTTTGGGGCTCGACTGTTCATATCGATAACTAAGTTACATTTTAATTATCTTTATAATATTCATATTTCATTTAAGGTAATAATTATAAAATAAAGATTTTTAATTTCAGATAATTTAAGATTAAATTTTGTATATATTTAATACTAGCTTTCTGCCCGCAGCTTCGCCCGCGTGGAGTTCGGTTATATCGCGTCTCCAAGAGAACCTTTCAAAAGTCTGGGATGAAAACTATCCTATGTTCTTTCTCGAGGTCAATTCTATCTCTGTACCAAATTTCATTAAAATCAGTTCAGTGGTTTAGGCGTGAAAGCCTAACAGACAGACAGAGTTACTTTCGCAATTATAATATTAGTAGGGATACTATTCGTTAAGATTTTCTTGAAACAATCACATTACTCAATCATTTCAAGCCAGTATTTTTAGTAACTTTATAATTTTCATTTCCACTTTTTCTAACTAAGTTTTATACTTTAATATGTACATACCAAAAACATTTCATATTATTAAGGACTTATTTAATATTGAATTTATAATAATAGCATTGTTGATGAATCATACGACTTTCGATATTGAATTTCAATATTAAATGGTGCGATGTTTTAATATCTCGTGGTACCATTTGCAGTGAGCTCGTCCTTGGTCGGTGAGATGAAAGTCGAGGGGTGAACACAACGTCTCCTTGTACTCAGGCTACTGACCCTCATAATGAATGGACTATTTTTATGATGGGAGATCGACGGTACCATTATGCGTGGTAAAAAATATAAAACCTATTTATATTCACTCAATATATTTATTATATGGTAACATTCATTTTATTTGTCAGTATCCAGAGCCGTAAAAATATTTACAAAAAAAAAAAATGTAAATTTCAAATTGAGTGTTTCGGCTGTCATATATGATATGTCATTTTGACATGTTTTTTTTTATAAACTATCCAGATTCGGATGTAGATCGAATATATAATGATCTAACTTGAAATGAGGTTTTATATGGACTTTCATTCAAGCGTGGCGTTGATAACAGAAGTCGTTGTTTTTTGTTAGATATTCCTCGTTAGATAAAATCATAGCTCATAATTCATACTAACGAACTAACAGTAAGCTGATACGCACGATCAGTTAATAGTTGGTTTTTAATACAAATACAAATAACATTATTTAATTACTAGGTATATCTATGTCAAAAACGGGATAAATGTGGAAATATGTAAAATAGAAAGTATCTATTACTTTTTTTAACATCGCGTCTAATTAAATAAATGGTTTAAGTTAAAATGGTTAACAATAGTGAAACTTTTATTATTTTTCTCGTTTGGAAAGCTGTGATTAACAGCGCCATTGTTATTATTTTAGAAATCAATTGTAGTATTTATAAATCTAATCGAATATTGAACCAATTACTTTAGATTCATTAATTGTTTTCAGAAGATAGAAAATATTTAAATCACTCTTCTAGTCAGGAGACATATTTAAATATATTTTTAATAGCTTTATAAAAGTTTTTTTTTCTATATGATAGTCATAAAATTTAAGAAGGCTGGTTAGGAAGTGGAATGACAATAAGAATTGTAGTCAAATACACTTTCTTCACAATGGTGCATTTAAATTGAATTAAATTGTATAGATGACGGAATTTTCATGGTGGGTTGACTGTATATGAGTGTGTGTGTGTGATTATATGTGTGACTTGTCCCATTGATTTTTTGTCCCATAACTTAACTTCCCTAAAAAAAGGACAAAAAACGGTGTCGTAAATATATTTTTTGTGACTCTCTTTATGGCCTTCCTTCTATTATTTTAAATCGTTTGTTCATAAATATCATTGGGGTAACACAAATATCTGACGCAGTCGGTTTACAAAGAAGCATTTATGGTCAATATTTTTAGTGTAATCTTTTTTTATACATCGTATAATATATATGTATATATTTTTATAATAATATCATGTGAACTGGAACACGTTCAGTTAGTAAGTAAACACGATGTGCAATAAATTAAACACGGAAATACTTAAACTGAGTGTTCCCAACAATTATTTTTATTTTACGATACACACTAATGTTCTTGGGTTCAGGGTTGTCGAAAGATATTTATTCACTGAACTGTTAGTCGGATAGGCTTAATTTTATTAACATGTCTCAATCTATTTGAGTTTTTATGTTTGCCAGCCCTAGTAAACTTTGATAGCACTTTTATCTTTTTTTATATCTTCCTGGTTGCAACGGAAGGGAACATTCTTTGAGTCATTTTATATTGAAGCATCACTTCGTACGGATCCTTTGTTCGTTCCAGTACTATAATATCTTTGGCTGTAATTTACGTTCAGTATCGATGTACTGTTTTCTTTCATACAGACTAATGGCATGAACGACTTTAAGAGAACGTTTTAGACGAGATTTATTTATATTTTTCTGTATATTAAGAACAAAATACATGTGTTTGTATGAGAACATTTGATACGCAGTAACGAAACAAAATCCTATGTATAGTTTTATATTAAATGAGACTTGAGTTGGTTATAAATATAAATTCAATGAATGTAACATATATTAATGAAATCTTCAGATGAAATTTAAATTACAGTATCTTTCATACATTTTAATGTCTTTGATTCTACGAAGTCAATTCATTTGTCCAAACAGTACAAAGCGCATATGTCTCTGTGTGTGTGTGTGTGTGTGTGTGTGTGTGTGTGTGTGTGTGTGTGTGTGTGTGTTTTCGCTACCTGTTAATCGTGATGGCCACCATGGACAGCAGCGACACGGCCTCGTTCCCATAGAACACGAAGGCGAACATTTGACACAGCCGCGGACCCAACACCCACTGCTGTTTTATATACCTGATGTATTCATTATATTAACTTAATTATATATTAATAATACCACAATATTACACGGAATAATCTATCGTTTCATTGTAAAGTTAGTTTAGAGTTATCAATAAAATTTTCAATGGTAATTACAGTGGACCCCCGGTAATCCGGCACCTGTCTAATCCGGCACCCCCTGTAATCCGACATGATCTATTATTTATTATTGAATACATATTTTGTATTCGCTAATGCATGATTGAACAAGTTACAACTTGTATGCACCATCACTACATATTGTGCTAGACGCGTAGGGTTATTGTTTTGATTCTGATTGCTTAGTTGTAATTTGAATTTGTACTTCAGAGTACATATATGATATAAGCAAATATGTATGTATATATATTATATAAATAATCTTATCATTGAATCTGTAATTTGTCGGATTACAAGGTAGTAGGTACTCTTTTGTAAATAAATCCGGACTATATCCGTCTTAGGCAGTACTCTATCCGACGAATTCGATAGTTAAACGCTGCCCTGCAAAATGTTTGTCGGAATACCTTGGGTCCACTGTAGTTCAATTCAATACTAGGTCACTAATTAATTTGTTGTTCAAGTATTTTAGTTATAAGTACATATGTATGTATATCGTTCATATAATGTTCTACTAACCGGCTGGCAGTGAGAGGTAAGTTGATGCTGCAGAACAGGAGATCAGACACACACAGAGAGAGGACGAACATAGTGGTCACGTGTCCACGAAGCTTGGGATGCATCATGAGGGCCACTGTCGTTATGAAGTTACCTGGAAAGAGATCAAAACTTATCATACAACTCATATAAAGCAACTCTTAACCTAACAGACTCAGGCTAGGCAGTTAATTAAAATGTTTTCTCAGAGAAAATGAAACTAATGTTTGTATATCTTTAAGAAAAGCAGGTAAATTTTCTTTTAATGATATGTGAGACTTTCGCGAGTATTAATTTAAATGAAACTTATATTTTACGGATTAATACGCGATTTTTATTTTTGATTATAAACTTCATACTCCCGACGTCTCGGTTACTTTGCAGTTTGCAGCAAACGTGATCATGGGCAGACGAGATGTGAAATCACATCTGTTGCTGCAAAGTAATCGAAACGTCAGGAGTGTGTAGTTTTTAAAGTAATGCGTAGTTATCCGAAAAATATTAGTTTCATTTCAACATTCTTTTACTTAGATAGTGCTACGATCTAAGATTTAATTCCCACCCACCATATAGACAGACAGTCTTTCAATCTAGGTAATATAAAAACAGGATCCGTATCTATGGATATACGTTATTAATTATCTAGTTCTAGCACATGATTATCAATGTTAATCTAATAAAATTACTGAATACACGATAGCTCAATTGTTACAGCAACTAGAACGAAACATTCCGGAGGTCGCGAGTACAATCCTCATTTAAATCATTTTTGCATCATTATTTTCTCTTTTAAATTTTCATTTTTAGCATAATTGATGATCATATCTGTATGTTTATATAATCTAATGTATTCTATTGGTTGTGTTCTGTAAGTGAATGTATGAAAGCTAATTATGTTAAACGCTTACTTGAATTCCGTTCACTTTAGCTTAATGTTTCACGCTTTCTTTTGAGATGTATATGTCTTACTTTGTTATGGCTTTAGTATGGTAATGCAACTGTTTTAGTTTACAAAAAAAAATATTAACAGAGGATAATCGAACTTATATATAAGTACAATAAAGAGTAATTTCGCGTGAGGTGTCAGTTTAAACAACGACACAGAAAGGGATTATTTCTCTAATTAAGCTAATACATTTCAAATATTTCATGAAAAATATTTCGAGTGAACCAATCTGTCGTATCCTGTAACGATTGATGAATCACTAGCACTCATTGGATGACTGAATCCACAATTAATGTAAGCAACAAACACATGTACGTTTGTACGTTGAGTGGAAGTCTGGCTGTGAATAAGACTCGAGTGTCCAGTGTGAGCGGCGCCTTATGATATGATTACTGTAATGTATGATATTAAATATTACATAGGATAAGTTTCATTACATAATTAATTCAGTAGCTTTGATATTATGACTCTATTTGTACGTGTACCTATAGAATACAAGTATGTATTTATGAAATTTGTAAATGTACATATTTTTATCGTTTATAGGTAATGCATTTAGTTTTAAGCTATATGTTGTTATTGTTACTAATATTGTGTCGATGTATTTACTCCTGAAGGATCTTAATAAATAAATAAATAAATGACAAGAATCAGAGTTTTTTTTAAATTCTATACAAATAGGTCATATTTTATTAATATCATGATCGAAATGGTGTAGAAACTGGTTGTTCATACATGTTACCAATGAAAAGTATAGGATATTAATGAAAACTTAAAAAAGATTAAACATCTGAAACTTACACATACTAACATTAGTCCATTACTGTGATGCAATTTACCAAATATATGGAATTTAACCAAATAATAAAAGTTCATAAATGAATTTAAATTAAACAATTTTTTTTGATACACTAGGTATTCACATTTCATCTGCATGTGATCACGGTTACTGAAAAATAACTGAAACGACGGGAGTATGTAGTTTTTGTACAAAAATAAAACACGCGTAGTACCTATATCCGAAAAAATAGTATGTAGTTTCATTTTAATTAGTAAAATTCGCGATAGTCTTAGATCTCATTCATAAATGAATCTCAGAGTGATATTTCAATTACATTACATATTATACTATTTCGTTGATTGGAATTAAGTATATTTAGAGAGACGAAACCTCTCATAACTCTATGTATTCACCGTGCGGGTGCCGGGTCCATCGTTGTAGGGAGAGGAGCTTCAACAGTGATTGGGACTTGCGACCCAGGTGTAGGTTTACGACGCCCCTATCTATATCTTTATAATTTTAGATATCTTCTGTATAATATATATTATATTACGTATATTGTTTGTCACGTGTCACGTCATTATCTCGCACTATATCAAGTAAACGACAATCATGAATAAGAGGTTTGTTTGTTTGTTTGTCATTTTTTTAACGCGAAATGTGATCCGACGCACTGACTGATGAGCGACGTCCGGCCGATGAACCGGGGAAAAATACGAGAATGATTTACATAGGGTTTCATAATGATAAATAAGATTACTATACAGAGTGACTGGTGAATTACTATCGATATTTGAGGACGTGATATATGAAGATCATATATGACAAAATAAAAATTAATATAACATAAATATTAATAAACTTCTCAGTAAAGTTAACCAAAAGTTATGTAATTAATTACGCATCGTATGAACACCCTACAGATTAGGTATACACACACACACACTCGCGCGCGGCGGCGTGTTGTTGTATCAGCACGCCGCCGCACGCGTCCACACTTGGAACACTTGGAACGTGTACACATTTTATTTATTTATACGAAAATTTGGTCAAAAATTAAGTACCTATTTTTTTACATAATTCGAATGAGAATCATGTACCGAGTATGCTCCTTAAATATTGATAGTAATTCACCAGTCACCCTGTACATACTCCATACATATACAACACCTTATAATATATATACTAGGTTTTGACCGACTTCGTCCGTGTTAATATCGTAATTAATTAATAATATATAATACATATTATGTATAGCTGACCGGGCGAAAACTATTCCGCCTTAAAGGCCATAAATAACCATATTAAAGCAAGTAAAACAAGTTATTATTATTTTATTTATTCATTCATTTGTAAAAACACTTAACAATGCAATATATATATAGTAAACGTTGACGTCCACACTAGGTTAGGCTTGTATCGTGGACATCGATTCATTTCTAGTAGAAATATTTTGCAATTTTTTTTTTATGTTTTCTATCGAACAGAATTATATATCCTATGTCCCTATCCTGGTTCTAATCTACCTCTACACAAATTTCCAACCATATCCCAACAGCCTTTCTGGAGTTATAAATAGTGTAAATAATACAACTTTCTTTTATATATATACCTATATATATATAAATAATAAAATGTTTTAATTAAGAGTAACCTTAGTACAAGTATGCCTCATTACACTACATACGAAGCGTAACCTGTTTTTTATAGATAATTTTGATCGTAAGCGAATATTAATGAATGAAAAACTGGAGACGCGTCGTAGATAGTGACGACAGAGATCTAGTCATAAGGATAATTATACGATGCTAAATATTGAAAATCAAAGGGGAAAGAAAATATATTTTCAGAGTAGACAAAGATTAGGCCGGAAAAAAAGTTAAATATAATTAATAAAAATCAATAATATAAAATCATAATATAATATATATTGGTATAATTAAAATGCATGATTTCTATTGAATATTTAAATCAAAAGTCATGGCGGCCTAGAGCAGGAGTCTCCAAACTTGATGGGACCCAGTGCCAATAAAAATAACTAAATACTTTGGTGGGCCGCAAAATATTTATCAGAACGTAACGATATTATTATTACCTGTGCTTGCTAATTAATGTATTTAACGAAGATAAAAGAGATTCTACGCGCCGCAATAGTACTTATACTTATAAACGTTTGTTTGATGAAAATTATTAAGTATTATTATCCATCTCTATGAATTCAAAATAATTTATATAATTAAATAAAATTTTAAATAACTATTAAATGTTTTGACATTTCTATATATGTATAATTGTGTGTATGTATCAATTGTTAGTAACCGTATATTATTAGTGTAACCCCGCCTGTCATAATATTTGACCCGTGATGTATGAGGCCCACATGGCGGGTCGCCAGTTTATTAACTATAGGGTTCATTCATTTGATTATAATTTGTTTGACGTGAAATCTTTTGTGTATTTTTAAATCCGTATATATTTAATGATTTTTTTTAAATATTTCACTCCGCACAGAACGTTAAAATACTGTCATACAAATATAATTATGTATATACAATTATTGTTAATTTCGAATAAATTGCATTAAATGTTTAAATCCATTTGTGAGCTGAAAGAAATTCACGAAATAACAAAAGAAATTCGTGTTTTCATTTTTATTTTTTTTTTATTATTTTTATTAATTAAATTATAATTTTGACGTCGATGTTTGTATATGTACAATTTATTAATTATGTACAACGCTGCTTTCGAACAAATCAGCCGATTTCGGTGCTGTTTTATCATTTTACTGTCAGTTCCTTATATGTATTTCTTATTGGGTATGTTTGGTTAACATCGTCCTTAGGCTGTAGAAGTGTCAGCTGTATCCAAAAGGACGTAATACATTTTTAACTTATGATTAATCAATGAAGTGGCTCAAGGGTTAGTAGAATCGTTGAGTAACAGTGATAGTAGAGTTTTAACTGAATAAAATGTAGTTATTATAACACGCCGTGATTAAATAATTCCAATACTTTAAAGGCTTATATGTTATTATAGAACATAATTCCAATACCGTTAGTATATAAATATATGTATTGTTATTTACATATACACATATACTTCTGACGATTTAAGAACTAAAACACGGAAACTATTGTTCGTCTATGTTTAACATACAAACTTGTACTTAGGGTACAATTATAATACTTTTTTTTATTAATATTAATAAAATGCCGGTTAAGAGGAAGATCCGTATCCTTTACGTTCGAAGTATTCATCAATTCACAATGTAGAGATGATATTTTATAAGAAGTATCAGGTTGCAAGAAAAAAATAATAATAATGATACAAGAAAGGTACACATAATTACATATTATACATTGAGAAAAATTGAGGTAATTTGTAGATAATATTATTAAAACGAAGATAATTTGGGTTTAGTAATTTCATTATCATAATCTAAGTATAACTCGAATTTGTGTCCACTTAAGAAAACTAAACTATTTGGACCTTCTTGAAAAATAAGCTTGAAATTATAATTAAATCTATCTAGTATCTGTTATAAATGTCGTATATATTTAAATTAATAACTTAAACAAGTTTTATTCATTTAAATGAAACTAATATTGTGAAGATTCATTTAAATGAAACTAATATTGCAGAAAGACGAGATGTGAATGTAATATACATTCACATCTCGTCTTTCTGATCACAGTTGCTGAAAAGTAGCTGAAACGTTTGAAGTATGTAGTTTTTGTACAAAAATAAAGCACGGGTATATCCGAAAAATATTAGTTTCATTTAAATCGAGATTCCTATCTGCAAACAATAACTGAATGTACCATAAGAACCAAATACCCCATCAGATGTCTGTGTACAATATGGCCGGGCCTTAATTACTTCTCTATAACTGAGCACGTGATGCTTTGTGATTGTATGTATGTATGTAACTGTAAATATGTAATTAAAATGTATGTGTGTGTTACATTATTAGCGTGTGTGTGTGTGTGTGTGTGTGTGTTCGCGTGTATGTGTGTGTATTTGCGTCTTTAGCGATAATCATTCAAATGTGTTTGTAATAACTACATAGTTAACTACTTTGTTAATATCTTCACACAACTTTATGAAAAACTTAAAACTGCTTGACTGCATTTGGCTATGAAAACTTCTAATATATGTATTTTAGAAAAATATTTGTTTAATGTAATCTAAGACTTTCATGAGTTTTCGTTTAAATGAAACTAATATTTATTTGGATTATACTACGTGTATTTTATTATTTTAAAGACTACATACTCCCGACGTTTCGGTTATTTTTCAGTAACCGTGATCACATGCAGACGATATTTAAATATCTGTCAGTTGGTTTTTTTATTTGATAATAATCAGTAGAAATCCGAATAATATTAGTTTCATTAAAATATTCGTCTTTACTTTGAGTTGAAATAAATTAAAATAATTCCAGAGTTATATGAAAATATTTAATTATATTTAAGTTAAAGTATATTAATTACCTATTGGAAAAGTAAATATTATAAAACAAATAAAAAAAATATCGGATAAAGTTTGTGTAAAAGGTTTAATTAACATTATTTTAAGTCTTAACATCCTGGTATAAGCTTGTATCAGTTTAAACAGCTTTATAATAATGTTTTATGATTCACAGTACGTCCGTCTGTTTCGTACAAAGCTACAATCCGTGTGGGACGTGACTTCGATTCCCGGTTCAGATTTAACCTATTTGTAACTTACTATTCAAACGGCAGATCAATTTTGAGTGTTACCTGAACTCGGTTCAAATATAACTATTCTATGGACATTATATTTTTATGTACATATATATATTTATGTTGAAGAGTAATATATTTTCACACAACTTTTTTATTTAATATGTTATATATTGTACATACATACATTATACAAGATATATTTGAATCATAATTTTACGTATCGCAATTATTAAATGGAAATTTTTGATTTAATTAGACGTATTTAAAACGAAAATTCAGAATCATCATCATCATCAGCCTATCAGAGCCCACTGCTGAGCAAATGCCTCTTTTCACACGGAAAAGCTTTGAGAATTAATCACCATACTTGCTCAAGACGGGTTGGTGATTTCAAACTTACAATTTGAAATTATAAGTCCAGGTTTCATGACGATGTTTTTCTTCACCGTCTGTCAGTGGTGTCTAAATACTCTTAGAAAGTACATATGACTCGGAAATATCTCATTGGTACTTGCCAGGTTTCACACCCGCGACCTCATATATGAGAGGCGGTCATTTAACCACAAAAAAAATTCAGAATAATTTAAATATTTGGTACAAATAAGTTCCATTACAATGTCAATTAGTGATAGAGGTAAGACGTGTAGAGGCCTTGAGGTTTGAGTTAACCATTAGACGGATTTAAGTGTAGTGGTTGTTAGAACATTATGCTTATACATATATATATGTATTGGTGTGTTCATTTGATAGAAACCGGCTTTAGAATTTTGAAAACAATGCCGGGCTCATTACCATTTCAAATACTATATCTTTACGCCTTTAGTCTCGTTTCCACGGAACCAATACACGTATTATTCATATGTGTTAAAAAAACTTCTTCATGTTTTATCATAAAGGATTTTGTTAGAAATACGTTTAAAGGAGTTATTTGACGTAGTGGGATATAAAAAATGAAGAATTGATTAACCTTAAATGAAGAGATAATGACGAAATCTTAAAGTAACATTTTAAACCCGACACAAGAACCCTCAAATATAAGTACTTTATTTGTGAGCTCTAGATTCCTGGAATATTCTTCTACTTATTTTGATACATATGTATATATAACAGTATTGAAATTCGACCGATGAATTCATCTATTGAAATGACATCATGACACGTGTTTTAAGAGTGTATGTATGTTTGTTTTGTCGTAACATCTAAACACTAACTATGAAGTGTTATTATGAATAAATGCATTTTTATTATATTTAATTGTACCTACGGTTATGGTATGCTCACCACATACTTTAGTAGTCGCAATAATTTCCATCATACGAAAAAAACATACTATTTTTATGTGTTTGTTATACAAATTTGAAATAGGCTTTTCGATTCAATATCAAAGATGTATTGGTATTAATAAAACTTACACTTTCGGCTGTACTACGCGTTTTTTATTATTTTATACTATATACACCCGAAGTCTCTGTTTATTTGTAGCAACCGTGACCACAGACAGACGGGATGAAAACGAAAATATTCATTTTGTTTAAATGAATACTCGCAAAAGTTTTATGCCATTAGTTGTGAGTATTGTTCATATACTCTTTATATATTTTGTTTCATTGTTAAGAGAAATTTCTTTGTTAGATGACGTACTAAACTAAACTTTATGTACACTATGTGTATGAAAATTCTGTATGGGAATACTCAGTGATATATATCTTTATAATTTTCATTTAATTAGTACATTTATTATTATATAAATTATGATTAAGTATATAAAGCTAGTCGCTTTGAGTCATAAAATCATCACAAGCTGATGCTGGAAGCCTTTTAACGTTAGGACATATTAGTCAACAGACATCGTAAGTGATGCATTTTACGACGATTTATCGATATATAGGTCGTTTCATACACTTGTTGAGTTGAAGATATGATAAAGCTATAATAATTATCGTTTTGTATGTTTGTATGTAAATAGTAATTGATAATAATAACGCTTCACACTATAAAGATATCATTAGGCCAAACTTAACACATGTTTGCAGTTTGAAATGGTACACTTTATTGGTAATGGGAAAATCAAAATAAATATTTAATACTAATTAAAATTAATGAAGCAGAAAGTTTTACTTCGAAACTCATAGATAAACTTATGTTTTAACTTGAGAAAAATAAGTATGAGAATAAGATGTAGTAAGACTGACCCTGCTAGTTGATTTAATTAATATGAGTATATGTATGTATGTTTGTTACACTTTAATATAAAAACTAATGAATATCTCCTTCTACCTGGCAATTTTCCCAACTTTAGCCAGGGTCTGCCTTACATGTTGTGAATAGTTTTGGCTAATTGTTTTTAAGACCGGCCGCCTGCCTGACATCAAACCTCTTTTGAGAATATAAAGTAATGAACAAAATTGTGGAGTACTATAACACAAATATCTTGAATATATTTTCTAGATATAAATCTAGATTTAGTCCTTACATGAAGGATAACAGAGGTCCTTAGTAATAAGTAATAGTCCAATTACGTACCAGTGAACGCCCTTTATAAACTAACGATCACAATTCACAATCGATTACCTAATTATTTATACGTATGATAAAATATAAATATTGATTTTAAAACTCCGTGTTGGATATTTAAGAAATTAAATATTTGATTACTAATAACTTAAATGTACGACTAATTTTTATTCTGAAATTTAAACGACTTTATTTAAAATACTTCAGGTTAAATATTTTTTATTAATTATTTTGAATTTGACATTAGTACAGGAAGGCCTTAATAAAAAAAGTCTAAATTCTTAGGCTTGAATTAAAAAGGGAATATTTATTTTTTATATAATCCTGTTCAGTCAGTAAAAACTTTGTAAATCATTACCTAGGAGTGTATTCAATTTGCGCTACAAAAACGAACAAAAAAAAATATATGGAATCTATATTTAATCTTTAAACAAATATTAAAACTCATTATAACAAAAATACTTCCGTCATATAAATAAAAAAAACAAATTTATTCAAAGCCATTGTCCGTATTTGTATAGCATTTGAATCTGTTTATCGTCAAATCATGTCTATCGTATATCATGACTATAAATTGAAAATCATGTCAATGGATTTAATGGCTGTAAAGCATTGGACATGAGTTGATGAATCGTAAGTCATGACTTAATACATATAGATAACACTATTTATATATAAAGATTAATATGTTATCTATTAAATATAATTGAGAATATGTCTATACATTACCTAATACTCCAACAACACTAAATATACAGGCACAAGCGGCCGCCATGATGGTCGCCTCTCGTGGATAAATCGTGTCCATCGTCGAGTTAAAATCCAAATCCATTTTGTTTTTGTTTTATCGATAACACTCAGGCACGTCACTAGCACTCTAACGCTGAACCTCTTCGTCTTCTCAATTCCATTTGGAGGTATTGTTTATCTGAAACAAACGGTTCTCATGAATGGACTTATTAATATTTATAACTAATGACATACGAGGTATGTATAGCGAAATGATTTAAGGAATTTGTTGCCTGTTCGTTTGTTTGACACACATTATCTCGGAAACGGTTGTAGTGATTTTAGAAGGCCATTTTTTTGGAAATTTTATATAAATGATAAAAAATATAATGTGTTATAAAGAGTTTAGTACGGAGTAATTTAGTAAGACATATAATAATATAAATCTGGATTCAATTGTTCAACTCTAATCATCAAATCTAAAAGATATTTCAATGATGAAAAGATATACATACATTACATTGTACTTAGTTGAAAATATACCATTGCCTTTACTAGGAGTTTCAGTAATCATACTATTTACGTAACGTCTCCAGTTTTCATTCATAATCTTCGTACATTACTCACGTATTGAATGAGAAACGGAAACGCTGCATTTGTAGTGTAAGGATAAGAACTTGTAGTAAGCGTAATGGAGATTAACGTTAAATATATTCGAGCGATAGTCTGTAGTTCATTGACCCCGCACGCGTTTGTTGCGTGTCTGTTTGTATTTACATTCGTTAAGATACATCTCCGAAACAGAACAATGTGATGTCTACTCAGTACTGACTCAGATTATGTTATTGTATATTGACGATTGTTTTCAACAACATTCCTTGTTCAAGATATATATCGAATTGATTTAGTTCGTACATTCCATGCATCTAGATTAGTACGCCAGGAAATAAAGAATTATTGGGCGGTAGATGACAAATTACAAGACTAAGACAGACATTCTCATTTCGTCCTGAGATCACGGTTGCTGTAATGTAACCAAAACATCGAGAATATTTAGTTTAAAATTATAGAAACACATATAATATCAAAAAAACTTTAGTTTCATTCGATTCAGTCCGATTTAAGTATAAAAATTTAAACGATTAATATTAAATTTAAATATTACTGCATGTTTTTAAATTTTCGTATGTAATTACTCGGTTGAAAACATTCGTACATACACTGATGATGACTTCAAACTGGCAAGGTCGTTTTATCATTTACAATGGCTGGACAATATAAGTTGTAAAGCTACTGTTATGGCACTGATTACCATAGCTCAGCATACATACAAATATTTAAGCGTATACTAAATTTAGTCAGTGGTGGCATAGTGGTTAAAAGGACTGCCTCTCATACACGAGGTCGCGGGTTCGATCCTGGCAAGTACCAATGTGATTTGTCCGAGTGATATGTGCTTTCTAAGAGTATTTAGACATTACTGATTAATGCATTCCCAAAGAGGGTTGATGTCAAGCAGGCGGCCGGTCGTAAAAACAATTAGCCAAAACTATTCACAACATGTAAGGCAGATGAGATGAATTTAAAGATACTTAATTAGGACTTTGTTAACGTCACATATTTTAAATATAAAACGTAATCTTATCTGCTCTGGAATAATTTATAGCGACACTAATGGTTCTGGATAAAACGTCGCCAATTACGTGTTGTGTCTTAACAGCCAACAATACGTTTTAAATGTTATCAGAAGTGAGTATTCTTCACTCCTATATAGGAATGATTGTAATTAATGAATGATAATGTCAATATATTCACACATGTCACTTGAATCTTCAATGTGGATGTTATTTTATGAAATTCTTATATAGTATTATTAGCTTTTTCCCGCGATTTTGTCCGCGTTAGTTTCATAATTAGAAATGTATAGCTGACCAGGCTAATTGTTTCGATTTAAGGGGTGTAAATAAACAGATTTTGGATTTTATTGGCAATTTTTTTTTGTTCGAATGAATTCAAAAGTATGCTGTATCCGTCTCCTTACTCCTACCAACAAATTCCCAGCCAAATCCGTACAGCCGTTCTTGAGTTATAAGTAGTGTAACTAACACGACTTTCTTTTATACATAGATAGATTTGCTTACTTCAGTACTGAAATTGACAATTCGGATATAATTCTATTGATTATTAAGAAGTAATTTTTCTTTAGCGATTCTTTTCTATAAATACATATGCGTAACTCGATTCATATAATATTAACCTTGTAATACAAATAATTTTGCCATTTAACAATATACCCCTAAAAATGCCTATAGAGCACAAGTAACTTTGATATGCAAGTTATCTTATGTTTATTAATATAAGTTTAGTGTTTACGTGCCTACAAACATACATACATCCTTATATCGATGGTTTTAAACTGTTCTATCAAAATCTTAGTACATTAGCAATAATTGTAATAATCACTTAACGCTAGTGATGGGCGCGTGTCACACGATACCAGTTCTATTGTAACGTGTCAATATAATTCCATCGAGTGTATTTGATCGCATCACTAATTTGCTAAAAGCAACAGAACGGATGTCCTATTGTTAGTCTGTTTGTTTTTGTTATTCTTTATATATATAGAATTTTTTATTTCAATATCATATGTGTAAAGGTAGAGTAATATTTGACTACAAGAGTATTCGCTAAGCCTATATAAAATGTTCTTCTTCCTGGCAATTTCCCAGCTTTAGCCAGGGTCTGGGATAAGCCCATATAATATATTCTTTAATAAATTATAATTATATTTTTTGTAATTTATAACATCGAAATTAAAACTGAGATAACATATATGTTCTTTGTAGAATTATATTGATGTAAATATATTAGATTTCTCGAAATAATAAAAATATTCACAAAGTGGTTCTTATAAATTTTAAATTTTCATATATGTCTATATACATTTTTTTATATGTTATTTGTAACAACATTTATTAAGTATACAGAATAATGATCTAAGTCTAACATATACAGCCATATGTTAACAATTTTCTATATAAAATTATTCTTAGTCATCGAGATTTGTGGATCTTTAAAATATTAGTATTATTACATTAAAACAACTTAATTATTTTAATTTATCTCATTCACGTGTTTTATTCCATATGTACCAAATAGATAACAGGCAGACCCTGGCTAAAGCTAGGAAATTGACAGGAAGAAGAAGATAACTTGTAGATAGCATTCATTAAGAAGTAAATAAAGAAATACATAACTCATGTCATTTTAAAAAGTGAATATTTTTTATTTAAAAATCATCATAAAATTTAAACACCAGCCTTAAGTTCAAAAATTATATACAGGGGTATTTAAGATCTGCTATATTATATAATAAACTAATATAATTATGGTTAAGAGACGAAACCTCTCATCATCCAATATATTCACCGTGCGGGTGCCGGGTCCATCGTTGTAGTGAGAGGAGCTTCAACAGTGACTGGGACTTGCGACCCAGGAGTAGGTTTAAGGGGTAACTATCTAACGCTAATTATATGGTCGTAATTTTTACGTTTTAGCTGTGTTTTCTAATCTTGTACTACTAGTCGGATCCTTACAACAAACACGTTCAATGTAAAAAGATAGTTTAATACTATAACGTGAAAGTTTATGAATGAAATACTATTAACGCTGCGTTTGTAGTGTGACGATAGCGATTAGCGACTCATGGTAAGCGTTTTGCATCTTAGATCCCGCTCATCTCGGTTCTTAATGATTGGTACTTTGATGTGGAGACTTACATATTAACTGTAGTTTATGGTTTAACATGAAAGGGCGATCAAAGGGTTTTTAATGATCGAATTAAAATACATTTATACATATAATATACATATTAATGAAACTTGGTTTGACCTATATGTTATGTAACATATATTATATGTTTTGAAAGCTAGGGAATGATTAGGTAATTTTGATTAACATTTATATTAGTTTTTCACAAGAATGTAAAGAAAATTTTTCCTAATATACATTCGTACATAATTATTTATATTCTTATATATAAGCATTTTAATAGGAAGTCTAATTTAATTGTTATATATTATATAGACCACGTAAATTTATGTTAACACCTGTAAATGTAGAACAATGTTACATGTACTCTTTTTGTAATTAAATAAATAAATAAAATAAATAAAAGTTAAAATAGAATTTTCCTCAGTGCGATTATTGGCTCTAAAGAGAAGCCAAATTTGGGGAATTTCACTGCATTTCGTAATACTTATACGAAGTATTCATATTGAATCATTTTTGTGAGTGAATTATCAACATTGTATTAGGTTCTAAGGAAATACCTGATGCGTGGTGACGAATTGATGTCAAACACACTCAATAATATGACTAAATACCCCAATACTCTCCATTCAATGTAATATGTTTTAAATTTCATATAACCGAAATAAAAGCACTTGTTGAGCCGGTGTGACGTCAGGGATTACCCAAGCAACGTTTTGATAATGAAGTATGCTTTCAAGGAATATACATATAACATGGAAAGATATACAATGTATGATTAATATCTTAAAACCTGACCTGCCTATCATAATATTCTAATAATATAAAAAAGAAAAAGTTTAAGGGTTTTTCCATGTATGTATGTTTTCTCACGCAGAAACTACTGAATGGCATTCGATTTCGTATCCAACTAAGTAATAAATATGAGAATGATATATAGGCTATAGTTTCGTGTGATGCGAGCGAATCCACGGGATAACAGTTGTATTATTTTAGACGTCTTATGATACAGAATATTTAGGTACCGCTGTGTTGGTTAACATATGAACACAAAATTTCCACGCGTATTTCGACACAGATAAAACCAAGTTGATTTTTAATCAATCAGTAAATTATTTATTAAATATAATAAGTATATATGCGGTATTTTTTTTAGCAGTTAACACTAGTTAAATTGTCGAATATAAATAGATTAATTTTATTGTTAGTTTCAAATCAATATCCGTACATTCCCTAAAGCATTAAAACGGGGTTCTGTCTATCTTTAGGGTCATTCCAGACGATTAATCTATAACAGAATTTATATCCACACATCCTCACAGACTCAATAAA